ACAGCTCTTACCTAGGAGGCTCCTGCAAGCCGGACTTTTGTTCCCCTGGTCATGTTGGGGAGCTTTGGCCTCCACAAGGTCTTCTTGAATTTCCCTGTCCAAAAGCTAATTCTCTCCTCATATCAGCCATAAAGTCATGATAGCTTATCACTTTAATCCTTAGTGGTATTATATTAATGATGTCCTGCCTCTACTGCTAGTGGTAAATCTCTTCCTTTTTTTTTTTTTTTTTTAAGATTTATTTATTTTAGGGGTGCCTGGGTCAGTTGAGCATCTGACTTTTGGTTTCAGCTGGGGTTGTGATCTTGGGGTCCTGAGATCAAGCTCCAAGTCGGGCTCCATGCAGAGCAGAGTCCGCTTGGATTTCTCTATCCTTCTCCCTCTACTCTCACCCACCCCCACCATGCTCTCTCTCTCTCTCCCTCAAATAAATAAATCTTAAGAAAGATTTATTTATTTGAGGGAGAGAGAGAGCATGTGAGTGCACAAGTTGGGGGAGGGGCAGAGAGAGAGGGAGAGAGAATCCTCAAGCAGGCTCCCCACTGAGTGCGGAGTTCAATGTGGGGTTTGATCCCAGGATCCTGAGGTCATGACCGAGCTGAAGTCAGGAGTCGACCGCTTAACCAGCTGAACCACACAGGCGCCCCTAAATGGTAAACCTCTTACAGGCAGGAAGAGAGCTTATCAGTGAGTAACAAGAATAACACCTGGTCCCTGAGTGCTTTGAGCAGTGAGTATTTTGGAATGAGCAAATAAATAATTGTGCCCACGTGGAAGTGACCTGAAAAGAGAAAAATGAGGTTGTTAAATTATTTTATACCATAGAATTAGTCACAAGCCATTTCAAGATGGAGTGGGCACAGAAATCATGTAAGTACAGCTCCTCCATAGACAGATCAGCAAGCGCAGGGCTAAATCAACGAAGGTCTTACTGTTACTTACTTAGTGGTTCCATGTTGGCACGTTCATTTGAAAGAATGGTCGAAACTAAGCCTTGTATTACTGGCTTCGTGTACCATGGCTGCAGAAATCAAAGTCTGGCCTTGGCATTGCCAGGACAAGTGAAGGTACAGGCAGAGCTCCTTTGCCAGTTTGAATTCTCAACTTACATTTCTCATGGTTGCCAAAGAATTATGACTTTAGAGAGGGGTCCCCCCCCCCTTTAACATACTGGATTTTGGTAGTGGCTGAAACCATTGTATTGTCTGGGGCTGTCTGAGAAGTTTGTAGGTCATCGTGCCATACCATGGCTAAGTGCAAGGTCTCTAGAGTCTGGAACCTGACGTCTGGGCCCAGATTTCAGGTCCTCAACTTACTAGCTCTGTAACCTTGGGTAAGTCACTAAACTTAAGTGCCTCTGTTTTCTCTAAAATTGAGTTTGGGTCATAATAGTAACTATCTTGTAGAATTGTTAAGATAAATTAACTAGCTCATTATTAAGGCTTTTCTGGAACATTGGAAATGGTCGATGAATGTTAGCGGTTATGATGGTCATGGAATACCAAATGGCCTGACCCATCTTTATCCAATCATTATTTTCCTTGCATTGGTAAGGGATATGTTTACTGAAATTCTCTCTGAGATTTAATAATAAAGATAATGCTGGAGATCACATTCTGCAGGATCTGGAAGGTGTGGATATGTAGACATTGGCTATCAGGTCTCCCCAGATGGAGGAAATGGTGTGAATAAACTGTTGGCGAGAAATGTGGGCCTGTCTCAGGAGTAGTAAAGGTCAGGGTTGAGCTTCAGTGCAAGGTGCCCTGTGGGGAGAAGTGGGAGATTAGGTAGGAGATTTGAGATTAGCCCATGGCGGTCCTGAGGTGGCAGGCCAAGGAGTCTGGATTGGGGGCCTTTGAGTTCGGAGATCCCTTTTGCAGCAAAAGAGAGAGAGGAGGGACCAGATGGAAGGTGGTTGACTTGGTAGGAATAAAGGGGCGGAGGATACGGTCTTGATCACACTTCGGAATTTATGCAAGGGACAACTGGGTCTCACACATAGGTAAGATAGGGATAGAAAAATACGATTTCGGTTTCATGAACATCAGTTTGAGGTACTGAAGGGGTAACCCAAGAGAAGCGTCCCTTTGATAGAGATTCAGAACTAGAACTCAGGCAAAAAGTTCAGTAATAGAGGTAGAAAGCTGAGAGTCCTTTCCAGATGCGTAGTGGTTGAAGACATGATAATACATGAAATTCCCGAAGACTGCACCCATTGACTCAAAAGAGATCCTACACTTTTGGGGGGAGAGATTAAGGCAAGAAGCAGTAAACATGGTGACATAAAATTCTGGGACGTAGGAATTCAGTTCAGCTGTTGTGTGTGACTTAGAGCCTCTACTTGCTTTTCCTACAGTGCTTTCTAGTTTTTAAACCTGCTGGTGAACCACAGGAGGGACTTCCTACTTCACTATTTCCAGTCACATACTGATGGCCAGTGACCCTCCAGGTTCCTTTAATACTGGGCAGAGAATTAGGCTCAAATTATGGAATTTTAAAATGGCAATATGAAATGTACATATTTCATAGTCCAGAGTTAGAAGACTCTGAAGAAATACATTTAAATTTAAAAAATTTCAAGACCAAACTGTTTTATAACCCTTCATTTTGTATGTGGTTTTCAGTGGGTATAAAAATACTCAGTGGGTGTGTGGGTGGTTTCTCGTGTTTTGGAAATGGTGAGAATATGAGATGCTGTGCGTTGGGTTCTGGGATGAGAGCTATAATTACTGACTCTGATTCTTTCCCAGGATTGGCTCATGGGTGGGTATCTGTTTGATCTAAAAACCCAACAATGCAGAAGCCACAGTAATAAACCACTCCCCCCCTCCACTGTCCCCCCGCTGCCCCTCCTTCCCCCGGAAATGAAAAGAATTGTTGTGGAGGGGACGAGGGGGAGCGGAGGGTGATGGCTTTTCCCTGCCTTGCCTCCTTTCAGGCCTTTCGCTGACGGTTGGGGTCAGAGATGGAACGCAGAGGGAGGCTGGTGCGGTGGCATCTCCCGGCCTGAGCACAGCAGCCACTACCAGCTGTGCTGGCAAGAGTTCTAAATAGAACCCAGACTCATTTCAGATCCTCCTCCCCCAAGTCTTGGAGGATGTGGTAAACACCCTAAAAATACCTGCTGTCTGAACCTTTGAGGTCTGGAAACGGAAGAGGCAGGTGGTAGAATTAGGGCCATGTGGTGGTGTGAGCAGGCCTGGCCAGCGACCAGGCCTGCTGCCCGTGGGGGCCTCCTGCCCATGGGGATCTGCTGCCCGTGGGGGCCTCCTGTCCGTGGGGGTCTGCTGCCCGTGGGGGCCTCCTGCCCATGGGGGTCTGCTGCCCGTGGGGGCCCGCCTCCCGTGGGGTCTGCTACCAACTGCTCGGGGAGCTGTCGCCGGCGCCATCCTATTCAAGGATAAGTGCCTCCTCCTGAGTCTCATATTCGCTGTTGGCAGGTTTCAAGGAAACTATTCATAGATCAGGCATCTGCTCTCTGTCCCATTGACCTCACACCTGCAGCTGCCATCATGGGACTCGGGCAGTGTGCCGGTTTTTAGTTGTATTTCACAGAATTAGAATTTTAGAGCGGCAAGGACCTTAGCCATTACATTGTTCGTGAAACATTCCTTTAAAGTCACTGTATCGAGGGAGGCCTTTTTCTCGGCCTAGAGAGTGACCACAGGGATGTGAAAATGGAGTCTCAGTCCTCGACAATGAAGAGAAATCCCGGTCATCATTATGTAACGCAGAAGAAGGAATTCGATCTTTTTAAAAATATCGATGAAACGGTCCTTTGCAAAACTTCTTTTTTATGAAAAAAAAAAATAGGGTTGTGGGGCTCATTTTCTTACTCAGACTTCAGTATTTTGAATACAAAGAGCATTGATAACTGAACCAGAAAGTACACCAGGAGTCTTGCTTTCAAGGGGACTTTCAATATCTAGATTAGTTTCAATATCTAGACACCAGTATCTAGTTTCAATATCAGTAACCATGATGTTGTAATGGAGGGACCATAGCTCACCTCTGTTTTCTTGGGAAAGGAGATTTTTTTTTTTTTTTTAAAGACTTTCATTTATTCACTTGACAGACAGAGATCACAAGTAGGCAGAGAGAGAGAGAGAGGAGGAAGCAGGCTCTCCACCGAGCAGAGAGTCCGATGCGGGGCTCGATCCCAGGACCCTGAGATCATGACCTGAGCCGAAGGCAGAGGCTTTAACCCACTGAGCCACCCAGGTGCTCCAGGAAAGGAGATTTTCACAAATTACCTCCCAATACATCCGAGACACATTCAGAGTCATGGAGGCAGTCAGCACCGTTATAAAATAGCATAAATCACCCAAATTTTTAAGTGTATGAGAACTCTCTTACCCCAGTCTCCTTCAGTAAACGGAGAAGGCCCAGTGAGTGCGGAGCCCATGCTGGGTGCTCTGGAGGCGGAAGCAAAGATGCCCCCAGAATCCTGTAGAGCTGATGGTGGAGGCAGGACCACTTCAAGTGCTGAGGAGTTTTACATATGTTGCATTTATGGTGGTTACAGAATTTTTATAGTTGTAATAAGTATGTGTCTTCCATTCTGAGGGTCTCAGAGTTCCTTTCTGTGTCTGGAAGAATGTTCTTATTTTATATTCTGGGTTGAAAGTAAATTGAAAGTTTTTCTTGAATTCTTGAAAAAAAACAACATCATGGTGGGGTTTTTATGTCACTTAATGCCTATCTGCCAGCCTAGAAGCGGGCATTTCCCCGGACCAGTACACTTGGAAGCAGAAGTGAAACTCCTTGGGAGAGAGTCTGCTTTGGGAGTCAGTGTGATTTTGTGGAAAGAGCGTGGCTTTGGGATTTTCAGTTGCTTCAGTTGTGTAGAAGGCAAGGAGGATGTGGCTTTAGAGGGAATCTTCTATTTCGACGCATGTCAGGAAGAGATGCAGGGAGAGGGTCATAGCCACAGCCACAGTGCGGGGTAACTCAGGGGGCATAGTTCCTGAATTCTCAAACGTTTCCCTCTGAAATTCCAGAATGAAGAGCTTCGAAACTTGTCCCTTTCTGGACATGTTGGATTTGACAGTCTCCCGGACCAACTGGTCAATAAGTCTACTTCTCAAGGATTCTGTTTCAACATCCTGTGTGTTGGTAAGTGACTCATCTCTGGCTGCTTAGCAAGGACTCTGATCCTGAAGTGTTGGCAGGTGACTGTCAGAGGGACACATTTCGGGGAAATAGGGGAATGATACTTTTACTACTCTTCTTTCTCTCATTAGTAAGTCAGGGCAGTAATACACTGTGTATGTCACAGAGGTACAAAGATTGGGACTTGTATGTGGTAAATGTTTCATGAACTTTGTGATGTTACTCAAATTGGTATTTTTATGTGTGTCACACTGTCAAGTGGTCAGTTCAGTGTTATTAAAACGCTTATTTTAATTTTTGGTGGGGTGAGGGACTTAGAGTCTGGCAAGACTGTAGGAAGTTGAAAGAAGGGACTGATAGAAGCACACATAGAGGGAGCATTCAACAGCATTTTTAGAATTTAGTTCTCAGCTCTCTGACTACTGTGCGATAGAAACCTCCACTGAAGTCTTTTTAGAGGTAAAAAATCTGAAATTACTCTAATTTCCCTAATAAACCTAATGTTTATATTTCTGGTTTTTAGAGCAAAAGAATGTAGAATTCTGTTTTATATCTGGAGTAAATTTTCTGCCTGAATTACAGATTAAATGTGTGTCTTTAAATTGGAATAAAAAACTGACCTTTAGTGTATTCCTGATAGATCAATGGAAAAAAAATCCAAGAGACTTGATTTATCTACCTCCTCAGTGTGTTTTATTCATATCTTGTAGATGTGCATTCGTCTAGGCCTCTGGCCTTGGTGTTTTTCTTCTCTCTAGCCATATCCTTTTTAAAGGGAAGGCAGAAAGGAAGGTGAGGAAAATAGTAGTATAAATCTGTTGGTTTGAAGCAGAAATGCTGCTGGGACAGGTGACGGCCTTCCCTTCACTGTTGCTCCTGACGAGTGGCCAGGCTGTACGGCAGTGAAGTGGCTTGGGCTGCATTGTTCTTGCCGTTGTCCTCTTGTCCTCTGGGTATATGCTTGGGAGAGATCACCCTGAGACAGACCAGGAGAAGTTACGTATGTGGGCAAGTGGACCATCCTTCGCCTGAGCTTGGCCGAATGTACTGGACTTCTCTTGTCCAAGTAAAATGAACTGAATTTAAAAAGGGTAGACGTTGAATATAAGAACCACCATTTTAAAAATGTGTTAGGGACAGATATTTTCTTTTTCAAAAAACCTGAACATATTAAATGTAGTCTCTATACTGGGGGTTTGTTTGTAGAAAGCCACACTGACTTGTACACTAGACTAGCTCAGTCTGGCATTATGTCTTAAGCGTCGGGTAAGAGAATAACTCGAGAGAAACATGACCAAAGCAGCCAGCTCTCATGCATTCCCCTTTTCCCGACATGAGGCTGTTTAAAATTCAGCAGGGGAGCTCCTGAATGGCAGCTAGTTCTACAGAGTGGCATAAATGAGTTGTCTTTTCTCCTAGGGTAAATGCTCGTTGCAGAGCAGGGCAATTCTTCATTAGCGTAGCAATTTGTTGGCAATTTGTTGATTTTCTATTGAAAAGTGCTCTGAATTATAGGCCAATTACTACTCTGGCTTCTCTTCCCTGCCTCTCCCAGCCCTGTCTCCAAAATCAGCTTTAAGAATACATGTGAGAGTGGGACGCCTGGGTGGCTCAGTTGGTTAAGCAGCTGCCTTCGGCTCAGGTCATGATCCCGGCGTCCTGGGATCGAGTCCCACATCGGGCTCCTTGCTCGTCAGGGAGCCTGCTTCTCCCTCTACCTCTGCCTGCCATTCTGTCTGCCTGTGCTCGCTCTCTCTCCCTCTCTCTCTGACAAATAAATAAATAAAATCTTAAAAAAAAAAAAAAAAAAAAAAGAATACATGTGAGAGTTATGCCCCAGCCCCTGCAAGTAGGATAAAGGCTTTCAGTGGGATTGGGCTTTCTGGAAGGACCTGGTTTGACCCGATGTGTGGTGTGCGGTGGGTGTGTTGGCTCACTGGCTGACCCTGTGTACATAGCACAGTTATGATGCTAGTTGGAATTCATCACAAGCCACATCCACACTGCCTGGATGGATTTGTAAAGCAGCTGCTATTCTGACTTTCCTGGGTAGGTGATAATACCTGTCCTTTTTAGATATTTATTCTGGGCTCATTCTTTTTTTTTTTTTAAAGATTTTATTTATTTATTTGACAGAGATCACAAGTAGGCAGAGAGGCAGGCGGAGAGAGGAGGAAGGGAAGCAGGCTCCCCGCTGAGCAGAGAGGCCCATGCAGGGCTCGATCCCAGAACCCTGGGAACACAACCTTAGCCGAAGGCAGAGGCTTTAACCCACTGAGCCACCCAGGCGCCCCTGGGCTCATTCTTAAACAGGTTTAAAATTAGTTTTTTAATTTAATTAAAATAATACATATTTTTTTTCTAATTAGGAGCTCTTCCCTACCCCCTGCCCCCTGCTGCCCTCATTTCCATTCCGTACGGTAGCCCTGTGGAATCCGTCTACAAATCTTAACATTTTTCTGTACTTAAAAATTATTTTTGGTGGCTTCAAACAACACTGGCTTATTATCTTATAGTTCTGTAGAAGTCCTACCAGGCTAAAATCAAGGCATCCACAGGGCTGAGTTTCTTTCCACAACCTGTGGGGGAGCGTACGTGGCCTTGCTGTTGCCAGCTTCTAGAGGCTGCCTGCGTCCTTCGCTTGTCGACACTTTCCTCCACCTTCAAGGCCGGCAGTGTTGTGTTTCTCTCTGACTGTTTTTGTGTTAGGAAAGTTTCCACAGAGAATTCCAGAAATCCAGTCGAAACTCAGGTAAGAGGCCTCCGCAGCTCCAGAACGCGCTGAAAGAGTCCTGCATTGACACCAGCTGGCTCTGGGGGTTCGCAGAGTGTTCTGGAGGCCGCATCTGGTTCTCAGTCCCGCTTGCTTCTGCGTGGCCTCACGTGCGGGCGGTGGCCTCACGCAGCCGGCGCTGGCCTCGCGGCCCCGAGGACAGCCGAGCCGTTCCTGACGGCTCTCGCTGAGCAGCCACCGGACGTCTCAGATGGACCAGGCCGGAGACACATGCGCGCCGGGCTGGGATACGGGGTTAGCTCAGCACAAAACACCACAGGTGCCCTGTGAGGAAGAAGACGTGATGGGAAGGGAGGTTGGTGTGGAGGAGACGCACCCTGGGCGGGTAGACAGGTCCCGCACAGTTACGCAAGTACTTCAGTGTTTTGGTTTTACAGCAACACCAATGAGATCGCACTGTCCATATTCTTCTGCACTGTGTGTTTTTCCTTTTTACGCTACAGTAAGTCCTGGCCCTTCTCCGTGCCGGTGTATCTGGCTGGCCAGGTTTGCTTCCGTGACTCCTTAGAACCTGGTTGGAGCCCACGTGAGCTCTCCGGGAGACCCGGGTCCTGGGGTCAGCATTAAACACTAAGCATACTTATGCGCAGACGGCAGAACACATCAGATCCCTTTCCCACAAATAATTTACAGCAAAATAACTATCAGAAAACAACTCTCACTGCCATCTTTCTGTCTATCTATTTATTTATATTATTTGAATTCAAGTAGCCAACATAGAGTACATCATTGGGTTCAGATGTCCTGTTCAGTAATTTATCAGTTGCGTATAACTCCCAGTGCTATCACTTCGCAGGCCCTCCTTCATGCCCATCACCCCATCATCCCAGCCCCCCAACCCCCACCCTTCCAGCAACCCTTCTATAGTTAAAAGAGTCTCTCGTGGTGTTTCTCCCTCTCTCATGACTTCCCATTCAGCTTGCCTCCCTTCCCCTATGGTCCTCTGTGCTGTTTCTTATGTTCCACATATGAAGGAAGCCCTGTGATGATTGTCTTTCTCTGATTGACTTATGTAGCTCAGCATAATACCTTTCAGTTCCATCCGCAATGGTCCATCTATTTTTAAAGTCAGAGTCTGTGGAGAAGTATTCTATTTGATCAAAATATTTGACAGCCACTTAGAGGAGTACGTGTTATTTAATTGAAGCATATCCATGGTACTTTTCACCTTGTCACCCTACTGTTTAACACACTATGCACGTGTGTGCTAGTTAAAGCATCATTACTTTATTTTCACGTGATAAATATGGGAGGGAAATGAGAATTTTAGGAAGAGAGTTATGATCCTAGTAAGGAAACTGATCATGTTTAACAAGAAAGCCTTGAATTTTAATTTTATTTTGTAGCAAGAGCTTTTAGGTTGCGAAGAGGGGAAACAAACCAGGGCAGTAACTCATCCTGGCATGAGCTAATTTTAGAGGCCACGCATTAAATGTCTGGCATTAGAACCCATACCTGTTGAATCCTGAAAAGAAATGTAATAAACAGGAGAGTAGTGTTCACTTAATAGGGAAGAAAACTCTTTTGGTGATAAATTGGATGCCAGACCCCCCACCTCTGTCTTGCTTATGACATACTAAATCACCCCTAAAGCTGTACTTGTATTTACATAAAGCCTTTTCTTACCGTGCTGTAATTCTCTAGGGAATCAGAATTATTCAACCTTTCTTCACAATTTTAAATTTATGTACCTTACTCATTTTTCAAAATGGCATTAACTCTGTGAGAAGCTTCAACATTGATCCAGAAGTATGTAAGTTCTTTGAGTATATACACAGACGGATAAAACACTGTAACATCCCTGCAATGAAAGAGCCACTGGTTCTGCAGGGTCAAAGTAAATTAATAGTACATCTGGAAGATAGAAATCTTCCTTGTAAACCCACCATAGTTGTTTTGAGAGAATGACAGAAGAGGAGTAGAAAACATGCAAGTTTAAGATATTTATAGCCAAGACTATGGTAAGAACATAAACTGTGGAATTTTACACTTAAATCTTTTTTTCTCAAGAATTTTATTAAAAATTTTTTTTTATTTGGGTATAGTTGACACATGTTACATTAGCTTCAGGTGTACATTTGTATCCCGTATTGCTTTTTCAGGAAAGGATATGAAATGATTTACAGGGTGAAGTGAATGAGTAAATGAATAAAGATAAAGTTAACCCCAGAAAATAAAGAGAAGCCAGGATGAGCCGGAACTAAAGCTATCAGGTCGGTCTGTAGCAGTTCCTTCAGGGATGGATTTGCCTCTCAGCCAGTGGTCAGAGCATGGAATGAATCCGTCCACCCAAAAGATACTCACTGAGCATATACTACATGCCAGACATCAGCTAAAAGTTAAACGATGACAGATTTATGGTATGTGTAAAGTGAAAACAAAACAGTTGCTCCAGATGAAACGGTTTCACCTAGAAAAATCTCCCCCGTGGATTTTCAGCAGAGATACGGTCCGTGTCACCGCAGTTAGGTCTAGATTTCTAAAATTCCCCAGATCGGTGCAGTTAATCCACACAGTGCCAAGTGTCACACGTTGCTCTTTCAAGTCTCTCACGCAGGTGGCACTAGACAAAACATGTTTCATCAAAGGTGATTTGATGAGGAGTTAAAACAACACAGCTTAGGAGCAGAGCTTTCTGATTATCCGGCTTCATCCAAGAATAAAATTCTGGAATATTTTGAGGAGGCAGGCCGACCTTCATGCATGATTATTTGGATAATTAAACAAGTTGCGAGACCTGGCAGTCCGTAAAAGATGCTGATCATGGAGTGGCTTTTTGATCAATCTACAATCACCTTCTAATCAATAATATAATCCTACTGGGTCTTTTTTTCTTTTTTCTTAATTCCTTCCTTCCTCCCTCCTTTCTTTCTTTCTCACTCTCTCTCTTCTCTTCTTCATTCTTCTTTTTCTTCTTCTTCTTTTTATTTTAACATCCAGCTTAGAGCTGGTGGTTTAAATAAGCCTGTGAATAGAATGGAAGCGTTAGAGTTTGACTGTGATGTGGGTGTCCTGTCCACCAGGCTTGGCAGGAGCAAGAGAAGCAGAAGCCACAGATAGAACTTTAAGAGTAAATCTCTGCTGTAACAACGGAATGTTTAGGCAGATGTATTTATAACAGAACAAACAACAAACTCCGAAAAATCTACCCAAACTGCAATTCTCAGTATAAATGATCACCATGATCATTTTTTTCCTTCAGTTAACTTTTGATGAATGCCTGTGTTGTGCCAGATACTCCACTAGGGAGTTCTGAAATGCTTCAGAGCTGGTGTTAGTTATTTATTTTCTCAAAATATTGTTGTGGTTGTTGGGTTTGAATCCAAACTTATTAGGCTTTCTGTTACTCAGTTATAATGAAGCCTTTTTGCTCTTTTGGGTGGCTCAGAATTCTAGAAGATGCCCTACTTTCTGAGGATAGAGGCCGGCCTCAGGAACCAATGGACTCCAAAGTCCCCTCGTTCTGTAATTCCTCTTGTTCCAAAATTTGTCATTCCTTCTCAACTGCTTTTGGTGAATCACACTGCTGTGAGAGTAGCTGTGTCTAATTACGGCCCTTAAAAGCACAGAGCATAGAAATGGAAAGAAAAGCACTCTGAAATTTAGAAGAACAGTGGTTTTTCCAAGCCATTGATCAGCCCTGTGCTATAAGTAGTGCCTGGAATGCTAATTGTTCATAATTTCCACCTTAATGTAAATGATAATTAAAATTACCTTGCCTTACAAAAAAAAAGGGGGGGGGGGCACAGTATTCCTGATTCACATGTGCTTAACGAATTCTCAGCCTAGTAAAATGGATTGGTCATTTCAGTCCTGTCTAGGTAACCTGGGATCCTTACCATGTAAACTGAAGTCTTCATTGCTGTTCACAGGGTCACTGTGTACTGAGAGAAACTTTAACCTTATGCAGAGATCTTTCTAAGATAGTTCTGCTGCTGTTCCTTTGTCTGTGTTCTGAAAATGGGTAAATCTGGAAGAGAACTTTGCGGCACTTGATAAAGTTACAAATGTAACAGACACGGACAATGACTCCAGCGCCTTCAGCATTGAATTGCCTGCGATTCTAAGTGGATTCTAAGTGTCCGCGAGGGAGAGCTCTGTTTGTTTCTGTGTCCATTACACAGTAACTTTGTTTTGCTCAAGGTTATTTTGTTAAGCCATGAATCACAGATATCAGCTGTTGGCTCTATCCCATTAGGAAGCAGAGACTAGTTTAGATATCTTTTATTGATGGGCTTTTTTTTTTTTTTTTAAAGATTTTATTCATTTGAGAGAGAGCACAGGGGACCTGGTTGGGGGGGGGGTGGTTGGCAAAGGGAGAGGAAGAAACAGACTCTCCCAGCTGAGCTGGGGTGGGGTGGGGTGTCCATCCCAGGACTCAGAGATCATGACCTGAGCTGAAGGCAGATGCTTGACCATCTGAGCCACCCAGACGCCCTTTGATGGGCTTTTAAATAAGAATATCCAGGAAAGTAAGGAGAACCGGAAACAGTCTCAGCAGTTACATATCCAGACTTTGTAAAGATCTGGAATGACAGGATATTACAGAGGCTCAGTCAGTGTCACTTGTCCATTTTTATTCATCATTTTGTCCCCAGCACCCATGCTTGTCACAGAGGATGTACTTAAATATTATTAATGAATAAATTTCAGGTACTAACCTCTACTGTATCTCTCTGCTCTCTTCACCCTGTATTCCCTGCTGAGGGTCTATCAGCAACACATCTTCTATTTCCGTACCTTCTTTTCTGCCTCAGGGCCTCTGCCTACTCACTTCCCTCTGTGTGCCTTTTCTTTTCCATGCTGTTGCTTTGTATGTGGATTGTGTATCTCTCGTTCAGACCCCCAACGGGAGAAGTTCTGATTGGACGGACAGGCCACTGTCCAGCGTGGAGCACTTTCTTGGAGCATAGTGACCAGGCTGCTGCCGGTGCCTTCGGTCGGGGGCTAGTCCCGGTCCCGTTACCTGTGGTCACAGGGTATGGTCTTGCTCACGTGAGGAATGTGGTTGTGGCAGACACTTAGAATGTCGTTCTGTAATGCTGAAGTAGAGTCTGCTGTTCCGTCACATTCCAGGTCAGGTTCCGAGCAACACCGGGAGAACACCACGTCAAGCTAATTCATTGTCGTGGTCCCAGAGAGTTGCACCGCGCTCGGCACATTGTAGGCACTGGAAAAAGTACTGGCTGAGTGAGGCCTGGTGGAGGAGGACATTCTTTGATATTAGATGTATCAGGGGCCTGTCTAATGGGAAAGGTTAGAGAGTGAGGCAGATGTACTTACACAGTTTCATTCTAGCCAGTGGTAAGACACAATAAAGCTTCTAAGTAGAGAAAGCTCAGATCCAGAAACGCTCCATCCTCCTTCAGTTTCCCATGGCGCTGGGGAGTAATGAGTGTCACAGGGGCACCTGGGGGGCTCAGTGGGTTAAGCCTCTACCTTCGGCTCAGGTCATGGTCTCAGGGTCCTGAGATCGAGCCCTGCATTGGGCTCTCTGCTCAGCAGGGAGCCTGTTTCCTCCTCCCTCTCTCTCTGCCTGTCTCTCTGCCTGCTTGTGATCTCTGTCTGTCCAATAAATAAATAAAATCTTAAAAAAAAAAATGGGTGTTACAGAAGCTCTGATTGGTAAGTGAAAAGTGGATTCTGTCACACAGTGGGACCGTTGCTTTTTTAAAGCTACAAATCCCAGAGCTCTTTTTCTCATAGAATCGTCACCATCCTAAAAGTCTTCACAGCAACCCTTTAGCAGAGGAACCTCATGGGGTTTGGATTTGTTGAAAGAGTTGCAACGTGTTGGCATGTTTAAAGTGAACTGAGAGTGTAATTGGGAAATATTCCAGATTGAACAATAGAGGCATTCTTACGGACCCTGTCTCTTGGTTTCTGCCTCCCTCTTTCACCATCGCATTGCCGCCTCCACCAGCACCACCAAAGGGTAGGTTCTTCCTCCTTGCCAGCCGCTTTAACTCGACATAAGAATTAGGATTAGGAAAGAGTCTTGCTTGATACTGTTCGAAGGCCTGGCTGACGTGCTTGCTGCGCGTTTGGGGTCCGCATTTACTTAGGGGAGCGGCCTGGGGTCCCCGCCGCTCGCGTTCACACGCGTCAGGGCTTCGGTAAACGTCGAGTTGAATTCTCGATGTGAATTAACAAGGCCCTCGTTGCAGGCTTTTTCACCTCATTAACTTTCATCATCGCAGATTTCACACGGAACCTGGAAGAGCTGCCGAATAAATGTTTTTCCGTCTTGACTCCAGTCGATAGGGAAGGAAAAATGGGAGTGATATGGAGGCATCACACAGACATGTCCCTGTGACCGGAAAACACGAGGCGTGGGTTTTCTCTCTAATAGGAAAGTCGGGACGTTGTGTTTGTTGAGTGGAGGTGTTAGAACCACGCAGAAATTGGGTGGAAACTGTGGCTCTGCCACAGAACAGTGGGACTTCGGCAAGTTCCTTAAACTCACCGGGCTTTACCTGCCCCGTCTGTGAAATGGAGGGGACAGGAGCACCTCTGTCATGGGGGATCGCAGTAGGGTTTAAGTGTGGTCATGCATTGGAAGCCCTCGCCCTGGGGCCCGTCACAGAGTGAGCCCTCGGTGGCTTCAGCTGGGCCTGTTGGGACCGCTATCACTGTCAAGGGTGTCGTCTTGAAAATGTCACTCTTTTCAGCAGCATTAGATAGTATCAGATTTGGTGACATCACGTAATATAAATGAGATTGGTCTTTTTCCCCTGGTAACAGAAACAATACAGTATTTTTTAAAGTAAGGTAATTTTACATACCAGTATTTAGGAGAGGAAGACGTACAGTTTATGTCTTTACAATGTATAAGCTGCCACAGGCAAGCTCACAGGTTCTTTTTCTCTATCCAGAGGTTAAGTAGAGCATCTCGATCTGTAAGTACAAGATCTTTTATGCTAAGTGGTTCCTGGAATCCATTAAGGCCTATCTAGAGAGGTCTTTGATAGCTTACACATGGGAAGAACTACCTTTTCGTAATGGAATTTCTGGTGATACTTTTATGAAAATTTTACAAATATGATTGAGAAATTTCTGATGAATTCAATTGATGTCTGAGAGGCACTGACACATTCTGTCACGTCTCCCTTGTGGTCATCAGGTGAGACGGGCATCGGCAAATCCACGTTAATGGACACTTTATTCAACACCAAATTTGAAAGTGACCCAGCTACGCACAACGAACCAGGTGTCCGGTTAAAAGCCAGAAGTTACGAGCTTCAGGAAAGCAACGTACGGCTGAAGTTAACCATCGTGGACACCGTGGGATTTGGAGACCAGATAAATAAAGACGACAGGTACATCTTGGGGTTTCATGGGGATATAAATGGACCAGGAGATGGGAGGGCCTGTCCTGGGTACATTCAAAGGCTAAATGTTCCCTAGTTATGGGGCTGGTCTTCTGTTACCTAATAGAAAAGACATTCTTGTTCTCTGAGAAATTTTCTTAGAATGTTCTTCCCTGAGGTCTGAACCAGACAGCACAGTCGGTTCCAGCTAGTGCAAGGGAAAAAAAAAAGCTTATGGCATTTTTCCAGGAGGGTCATGGAACTAGATTTGGGGGCTTTCCCAGCAGGAAAAGTAATCTAGAGAAACACCCAGTGATTCTACAGGACAATTGGCAGACGCCGCTGCCACCAGTCACCTCATGTAATTCGGCACCCTTGGCACGGCGGGACGGTCTCTAGAACCACCAGTTCTGTCCCGGATAACCGAATGCCTTTACCGTCACTTGCAAGGAGAACAGGTGTGGCCTCTGTGGTGGGTTTCTCACTCCCTGCTTCCAGGTCTCGTGTGGCTGCCTCTGCTTGGTAGAAACTAAACCGCTTCTAGAACACTAGCCGTGAGAATCTGGGAAATGTGGTTTTTGTTTTTGTTTTTTGCAACTCTGAAAAATAAGAAGGCGTTAAAGAGGAGAGGAATGTGGAATGAGCATCTGCCATGCTCTCTTAGTCCCTGAGGCAGACTGGGATATTTGACTTAATCCCCCAATTCTTACAGATTTCAGTGAAAACTGAGAGTTGATGATAATCCTCTGTGAGAAGCCACGCCCCAGGATTCAGGAGAGCTGGGCTGTAGCCTGGATTCTCCCAGTGACAGCGATGGGACCGTGGCAGTTTGTCTCACTTTAAGGGAGCGTCACTGGACATGTGATACTGTGTATAGTCCTGCTCTTGGGCAGAGGCCTGAGGAAGGACACTGTGAAAGGCAAGGCCTGGGACGGGGTGTGGTCATAAGGGGGTCATCCTGCATTTGAAGTCCTTGGTCAAAGTGGTACCAGCTCCTAAAACCTCAAAGTGCAGAAAGCATCTTAATGGCAGATCTGTTGAAAAAAATCTTGATTTCCAGCTGGGACTGGATCTTGCCATTGATGGGAGTGCTTGGTCTGAGGCACTGTGAGTCCTGTGAAGCGTGGGGGGCTTCCTCGAGGCCTGTGGAGGGGTGGGCAGCCTGCGGGTGTGGAACTCCCCAGTCGAGTCTGAATGACTGTGGTTCAGTCCAGCCTGATGAGGAATGTAGGTCGACTGGGTTAAACTTGCCCTCTCTCTCCAGTGGGGTTTGTTAAGCTAATGAAGTAATAGATCCAGTAAAGTATACTTGTGAAAGAAAGGACGTGTTTAACCTGATTAAGAAATAAAGTATTTTCTAAGAATTGTATTCTGCTAGTTTGTACATAGAAAGGGGCTGCCACTGCAAGTGAGTCTTACGTAGTCATTTGTGGAAACCCGTTCCCGTAAACCTGAAGGTATGATTATTAAATAATACAGTTGGTTTTTAGTTTGATAAAACACATATTCAATTTATAAAGCCGAGGAAGTTTGGCTCTTCTCTGTGAGTTGCTGTACGCCTTTATCTGAGGGAAGCCGTTAATCTTGAAACTGGTGCTCAACCGATAAGTCAGCCTCGGTCCCCGGATACTGTTCACACTTCTCGAGATCATCCATCCTCTTCATCATTCTTAACACCAGATGTCTTACGACTATTTTAAATATGGTATTCATTTTCAGAAGAATTAAAGAAAGTTAAAATTGTCCCAGGTCCAAAGATGGTTCTAGAAGGGGGCTTCCAGAGACATTTCTTTTTTTTTAAAGATTTTATTTATTTATTTGACAGAGAGAGAGAGAGATCACAAGCAGGCAGAGAGGCAGGCAGAGAGAGGGGGAAGCAGGCTCATTGCCAAGCAGAGAGCCCAATGTGGGGCTCGATCCCAGGACCCCGAGATCATGACCCAAGCTGAAGGCAGAGGCTTAACCCACTGAGCCACCCAGGCGCCCCTTCCAGAGACATTTTTGTGCAGAGACAACATTAAGGGAATAAAACACCAAATCAGTAAGATATGTTTGCTTAGGGCGCGGAAATTTTATTAGTACCAGGGTTTATTTTTTCTTTCTTTTTTAAATTTTCCTCAGAACTGTGTATATTATATGCATATGTTTTGTAAAGAGGAACTTGAACTATTTTAGTCTAGAATGTGTATTGCCTAGAGATACTTTAACTATCTCGATATATATGAGCACCACAGTAGTTAGGAAGAAATATTTAATTCATTCTGTAGCTGAGCTCCATTTTATCTATAGAGCAGTTTAAATGTTCTTCAATAAACATTGTCCTGTAATAACAGCAGTGATTGTTAGATGTAGTGAGAAGGATTTCATCCTGCATCTGGTCAAAATGAACTGTCTGTACATTGTGTCGGGTGGGGGACAGCTAAGCCCAGACCCTGCAGCTGAGCTGCTGCTCTTAATTTATGGCCTCAGTGCCAGAGAATGACGGAGAGGCTCCCGCCCGAAGGCTGTTTGTAAGGCCAAGTGGAACAGAGGATGGGGAGGCCTTGGCAACGGCAACAAGAGCACAGGTGCATTTTGGGGCCGGGGAGAGAGCCGGGGTTCCCTGTCATGGGGCCATCACCGTGTGCTCCGAGCGAGCCATGTCTCCGTCTCTCCGGCCCGCACGGGTTTCTCCCTGGGGTTGGAGGATGTCATGCTAGTGCACCCCCTGACCGGAAGGCAGTAACCGGACCTTCCTGCAGGAATGAGAACAGTCTTCCAGCATCTTTCTGCTCCGACTCCGCGTGCTCGTCCCCGCTCAGAGTCACGGCCTCGGTGGCTGCACGACTTGCGTCCCCCCCGAGTGGGGATTGGCCTTGAGCCTGCTGGTTTGCGCGGGCCAGCACGGACGCGAGTGGCTACTGCAATACCGATTCTCACATTTGCAGCTGGAGGCCTCTTTAAGAAATGATCTGACTCATTTGGGTCAAATAATAGTTTCCAAGGAGATTTAGAAGAGAGGAAGTGTGATATTAACCTAACCTAGATACCAAATATTTTTTTTCTTCTGAAATTTCTTGACAGCTGTTGCATAACCTCTTTAAATGGCATTTGGAACTCTGTGCCCCAGAAGGCATTGTTGACACTGTTGACTCTAAACCCAAATGACTATTGTTGAAAAGAAAATTTTTTTTCGGACAGTCTGCTTCCATAAAAGAACTGGAAGCGAGGTATGCATTTTTGCATTGCTATGTAACCATATGGGAAGCAATGTGTTGTTTCTCTAAACCCGTGATTATTTTTACTACTTTGGGGATGAGGCAAGCTTTTCGGCCACGAATGCGGGACTTCGAGAATGTCCCGGCGTGTTTATGTAGCTTCAGTCACGTCAGCATTCCTGCGTGAGTGTCTGCCTGGGACAGAGCTGGCTAGAAGGAGACAGGAAGAGAGATCTGGTAAGGTTTCCTGTTGTGTGTAACAGCAGGATTAACTCTTCGTGGTTTAAGGCCTTCTTCGTGTTGCTGTCTGTATTCTTCAGTTGAGAAGGGGGAAGGGGTCTAGAGAAGAAGGTAAACCAAGTTTTGTCGTAGAGCTAGAAATAATTCACGTGCCCCACATTTGGGAAGTGGGAGATACGGTGTCAGTGGCGTATCCTAACTGTAATGGTGATCAGCCCTGAGGGGCACGGATAATGGGAAATCCTCAAACTCCACATCTTTGTGTCCGAGTTATAAAGTGGTAGTGAAGTGGACCCTTTGGTCTCTAATTTCTGTTTTTACCACACTTTCTGATGGAGGTAGTTGAGAGCTAAGGAAAACTAACTTTAACTAACAGCAAGGCAGAGAAAACGAGATGGTGGGTGTCTGGCCACATGTTAAATGGGGAGTCGGCCCCTGAACAGTGGTGTTGGTTCTTCTGCAAGAATGATCAGCGGGTAGCTTGGGTGGGTAGAAAATACTGTATAAAATATTTTTTTCCATCAGTTTCAGGGTCAGCCTCTGTATTTTATTGTGAATTTTGTGGCTGGAGGTGAATTGGAAAAATGAGTTGTGGGTAAGAAGGGCTATCCCCATGCTTAAAAGGAGACGATGTGACAATGTAAGGACTAGATTCCGTTTGTCCTCCTCCGCTGTCCTCTGCATGGTAGGACTATAATCCAGAGAAGTTGAAATTGGCCAAACGGAAAATAAATTGGTGTCCCTTCTGTAAGAATGGAAACTAGCAAAAGGCAGAATTGGGGTTAAACTTCCTTATCTTTGTGACCATGAATGTAGATCAGAAGTGGAAAGGAGTAGGAGGAGGAGAGGGACCGGTCGTTTGTTTAAAGGATGGTGAAGGGGAGTGTAAAACTGCTGGCTGACTTAAACACAGGGAATAGTGATTTTAGTAAATGTTCTCCTGGAATACATTTCTTTTAATTTGTTGTAATGGTAAGAAGTTAAGGTTGGTGGCATTTCTTGCTTACTGTCTGTGTGGGCGCCATTCACCAAGCGAAGGAATCCAGGGAAGTGTGGGTTTGGGGCCAAGGGGAGGAGTCCCGTCTTGGACACGTTTAGTTAGAAGAGCCGATGGAGGTACCTCTGCAGCAGCTGGATGGATGGGGCTGAGACTCGAGCGAGAGATCTGGGCTACTAGCAGAGGTTTATGAATTGTCATCACTTAGATGGTGAGTAAAACCCAGGAATAAATGGGATTTTTCAGGGAGCTCACGTAAAGGGAAAAAGAGGAGACTGGAAGATTAGCCGGAACTCCCTGAGAGGACATGGCAGAAGGAAACCCAGGATGTAAGAGAACAGAAGGTTTCTTGGGCTATATAGACTCCAGGGCAGAAAGCGTCCCTCACTGGAAAAGGAGAGATGTTATGCCTCCCATAGTCTTGGAGGATCAGAATCAACAGCAGAGGCAAGAGGGAAGTTAATAGGAAGCAGAAACACACTGGAGCGCTGCGGGGGGAGGTACTGAGAAGCTCAAAATCGGGAACCGGTGAGGCAGGAAGGAGCAATTGCTCGCGAGCTACTTTTCCTTTCCTTTCCTAAGAGGGCGTTGGGGAAAGACCCCGGTTCCCCAAACACATGACTCAGTGTCCGGAGACGGAAGCATCAGGCCTTGGACGGGCACAGGTGGACCTCGGCGGAGCGGCCGGTCCACTTCCCTGCAGGGCACCAGCCCAGCGGCAGAATGGTTCCCGTGCGCTGGATGCGGGCAGCGTTCCTTTTCCCCTTCTCTTTCTGAAAAATCAGGCTGGCTTTTCTCTTATTTGTTACTGTTTTTCATTCTATTACTGTGAAATAGTTACATCTTACTCTTCTGTGGTAATGCTTTATACACACTAGCTTATTTGTAACAGTAGCTCTCTGATAACAGGTGCTTCTTTGCCCTTATTTTGCCTTTGAGGAAATCGAGACGCGGAGGGGTGTAGTAACTTGCTCCAAGTCACATACATACTCGGTTGTGGAGTTGGGATTGGTTTGGCTTGAATCCATGCTTCTAACCACTATCCTATGATAATTCACATGATTAATATTGTTATTTTATACCTGCCAGTGTTTTAACGTGGAAAACAGAGAAGGAACTTACACTTGCTCATTCTTTCTATTAGATTTTATTGGGATTTCTGTTGTTATATTTAGAACTTTATCATTACAGAGGCATATCCTGTTTTTTCTTTAAACCACTAGAGATTTTGTCTGCTCACATTGAATCAGCGGACTGTGATGAATCACTGAGGAAAAATACCAAAAAAACTTCTTTTTCTGAGTGCTTTTGCTTTTTGGTTATGAATGTGCTTTGTTTTGTTTGTTCGTTCATTCTCTCAGGTGTCTGCTGTCATCCACATTATCAAAGATTTCTAGTTCCCTTTCACGGACTTCCGTTTAGTATATGAGTCAAGAGAGCGGAATGTTGAAAGGTTTTTCTTTCTTTCTTTTTTTTCTTTGTTAAGATTTTATTTTTATTTATTTGAGAGAGAGAGAGAGAGAAAGAGAGCATGAGAGGGGAGAAGGTCAGAGGGAGAAGCAGACTCCCCGCAGAGCTGGGATCCCGATACGGGACTTGATCCTGGGACCCCGGGATCATGACCTGAGCCGAAAGGCAGTGGCTTAACCAACTGAGCCACCCAGGTGCCCGGTTTTTTATTTTTCTTAAAGCTTAAGTCATTCCTCAGCAAGGTGGTAAGTTTGGGGAGAATGAACCCATTGTGTTCCCAGTAGACCCATCTCCTTGCCGCTAATGCTGACTTCTGAGGGGTCCCCTGGGGACCTGAAAGTTTACAGCTTTTCCACGGTGACCTACTGAAGGTACTGCTGAGCCCCTGGTGAAATCTGGTGTATGGAACGCATATTCCCAGTGTGCCGTCAGTGAGTATGGTCAGTTAACAGGATCATACGTAGTCATTCAAAACAGATTAGAATTATGATTTGTTGAGAAGCAAGAGTTCAGAGTTTACCTTCGGATCGTAAAGTGTCAGAGTTGGAAGCCATCTCGAAGTCCTGACCCCCGGGGCCCATCAGTTTGTAGACGAAACCGTGGGAGGAGCCCCGGGCTAGGTGCGAGCACGGAGAGCCCCTCCTGTCTGGAGGAATGGGGCGGACGCCCGGGCAGGAGCTCCCACTGGGTGATGCCGCCGCCTGAAGTAGAGGAACCCCATTCCGTGTCCGCACCGGGGTCCGTCCGTTGGCAGAGGCGGTCCGAGTCCCTTTACTGAGACGGACTTGGAGACCGCATTTCGGCCCAGCAGGAGGGAAGGCCACGCGCTCTCAGCGGAGTCTTCCATGGGAGGTGACAGCGCGGCTCGCACGTTCTCATCTCTGTTCTAAGGGACGGATGAGCCAGGAGAACGCTAGGAGGAAGTGGGGTAGGGCGGCCGCCGGGACAGGGGCGCAGCCACATGAAGGCTGCGAGCGTCGGGCCGGGAGGGCCGGAGAGCGGAGCTGGAGAGCCGGGGTGGGCGGCCTGGGGTGCCCAGGGACGCCGCAGGGCATCGGCGCGTCAGCGGCGGGAGGTTGGAGACCAGACAGGCCGAGCCCAGGCTGTTCCCGCCCGCGCAGCTACAGGCCCATCGTGGAGTACATCGACGCGCAGTTCGAGGCGTATCTGCAGGAGGAGCTGAAGATCCGGCGCTCGCTGTTCAGCTACCACGACTCCAGGGTCCACGCCTGCCTCTACTTCATCGCCCCCACCGGCCACTCCCTGAAGTCCCTGGACCTGGTCACCATGAAGAAGCTGGACAGCAAGGTACGCCCCGCCCCGCCGGCCCCTCCTGGTTCCCATCCCCTCTGTCTGGAGGCCCTGGTCTCGTTTCCCCTTTGGATGTCATTCGGTTGGAGTTTGTTTGCGGGACTGTTTTCCGCAGCAGATTCAGGTTCCCCGCGGAGTTAGGAGGAAGGTACGGAGATGCCCACGGACCCCTGCCCCGCACCCACACGCCCGCCCACGGGCACCTTGTTACTGTCCGCGCTCACGTGGACACTCAGCCTCCGAAGTGCGTTGTCGGCACTGGGGTTCCCTGTTGGCGGACAGCCGTGGGCTTGGACTCATCTAGAAAGAGCTGTATCCCTCATTAGAGTGCACAGTCGTTTCCTGCCCTGAAACTCCTCCGTGCTCCTGCCTGTCGGTGTCCCTCCCCGCTTCCTCCAACCCCGTAATTGTCTTTTCTGGTTTACAGAACAATAGGGTTTAGCAATGTGAGAAAAAGGCTTCAAAACCTCTGGATGTTGGGCTAAACAAAACAAAACAAATAAAACCATGGTGCTCTCTACCAGCTATTTTTAGTTCTTAAATTAGCACCAGTGGGTGCTCTGGTGAGGGCCGGGAGTTATATAGTGGAAGCACCTAAAAGGTCATAGGAAGGGTTAAATTTAGGGAGATTGAAATATGAAGTCACAATTTGTTTATTTTCTTAAAAGCTCTAAATTTCTTTTTTTCTTTTTTCTTTTAAAGATTTTTATTTATTAGAAAGTGAGCACTGCACAGTGGGTGCAGAGGGAGAGGGGGAAGCAGTGTCCCCGCCGAGCAGAGAGACCTATGCAGGACTCGGTCCCTGAGATCATGACCTGAGCCAAAGGCAAAAGCCTAACCCACTGAACCACCCAGGCGTCCCTTTTTAAATTTCTTTTTTAAAGATCTTTAAAAGTTTGGCTTTAATAATTAGGAAGTTTTGAGTGGGGGGGGGGGGGGGTTAATTTTTTTTTTTAAACTTAGGTGATAAGGACAGTCCAGCTCCTTAGATTTAAAACTGAATTGCACCCATGTGTTTTTATTTTTTATTTATTTTTTAAAGATTTTAATTATTTATTTGACAGAGCACACAGCAGGCAGAGCAGCAGCAGAGGGAGAAGGAGAAGCAGACTCCCCATGGAGCAGGGAGCCGGGTGTGGGGCTCCATCCCAGGACCCTGGGATCATGACCTTAACCAAAGGCAGAGGCTTAAGCCACTGAGCCACCCAGGCGCTGCCCCCACCCCCCATGTGTTTTTAAAAAGTAGTTTCCGTTTGTCACCTGGGCTTTCAACATTAATAACCTCTCCCTTTCACAACATTTAAAGGAAAAGTACTGACGAGTTTGATAAGTTAGTGGTCTGTTTTACGATTACTTTGATTTTTCGGGGTGCCTGGATGGCTCAGTGGGTTAAGGCCTCTGCCTTCGGTTCAGGTCATGGTCCCGGGGTCCTGGGATGGAGCCCCGCATCGGGCTCTCTGCTCAGCGGGGAGCCTGCTTCCTCCTCTCTCTCTGCCTGCCTCTCTGCCTACTTGTGATCTCTGTCTGTCAAATAAATAAATAAAATCTTTAAAAAAAAAAACAAAAAACCAATGACTTTGATTTTTCATTTTGAAGTAAATGGAGGACAGGACGTTCTGAAAGCGAAGAAACACATGCTGGTGGGAATGACCACAGAAAGGAGCCATGGCATTTTCTCTTCTAACCTCCTTTTTGAGTTCCATGGAGAGTCTTAGCAGCTCCAGAGGGTTTTGTTGGGTGTTATTTTTTGTCTAAACAAACACTGTTGGAAAGACTCTTTCTCTCCAGAGGAGCATGATGGAGAACACTCAGGAGACCAGCCTGTCCCCAAGGCCTCTGTCTGAACTCGCTGCCAGAGCGCTGGCCGGGGCTGACGCAGAGCCAGGCTTCTCGGCCTCCAGCACGAGCAGACACACGGCTTTACTGAGACATAGTCTGGTGGCATGAAGGGACCACTGCAGCTGGCGTGTTCTCCTGAGAACAGATAGAAGCCCTTCTCCGTCGCATTTCTTTCAGCTGCAGTTAGCCACAGACGGTGGAGGGATCTGGGCCGTGAGGCAGGCTCCCTGTGCTGTCCTGTCCTGGCGACAGGGCTGGGCGATGGGCAGAGAAGGAGGTCTGTCCGAGGGCTGTGGACCAAGCCCGCAGCCAGGGGGTATTTAACAACGGGGTCATGCTTAGTAAAGTTGAGTTAAAAAGGGAGAGAAAACAAGGCAAAGCAAACCCAGCTGGAAACAAACAAACCAAAGTCCCCAGGAAGCAGGTTCGACTGCTTTCCAAGATCGCTATTGCTGTGGAGCCGGGAGTGCCGGGTAGCATCTGCAAATGTATTTGCAAAAAGGTTTGTTGATAGAAGCAGAGTGAAAAGTTCAGGCTCTTAACTATATAAATCACAAATCTGTGATAATTTCAGAAAAGATTTTTGAGCACCTGCCACCGAGGATGATTTTAGATCTAAATTGCTTGATTCATCTATCTACTCTGATCAAGGAACTATGAAACTCTGCCATTTTGTCTGCATAAAAGTCACTGAGTGCTAAGCACGTACAGAAGGCAGCCAGGGAGAACAACGAGGAAGTCCTCGCATCCGACCCACACATTTCCCTGCCACCAGTGTTTCCCGCAGTCTGTGACTTGCTGGGTGAGCCCAAGCAGGAGGGTCGGAGTAGGTGGGGAATAGGGAAAGAGTAGGTTTTTCTATCCACACGTCTTCTCATGGGGACGGATCAGGGATTTTAATTTGGCTCTTGGAATAAAATAAGAAGCAAAGGAAGGCAGATGTGACCAAGAAAACCTTGGGAAAGGCCCCCCTCATTCCCTTGCTAGGATGGCTTTCTCACCGAGTCTGACCCCCTTCCCCCGGAGCTGGGTGGGGAGCATGACCCCGGGTACTGGATGTCAGTAGCGGCTCACTGAAAGCTCCGTACCTACCACGGAGCGGACGACAGTTACTCCTAAAAAAGGAATTTAAAAAAATGTGCTGTGTGGACAGTGCTGGGGAAGGTTGGAAGAATGACCGATGTTGGGGTTCGGGGTTTGTGCTTGAGGGCGTCCCTGGCTCTCAACGCTGGGCTTCCTGCCACGGTTGGCAGACTCTGCCTTCTTCCTGGTGTGTGTAGCCCCTGCTCGGAAAGTGAGCCTTGTCTTTGGCTCTAGGGCTCATTCTGGCATGAAGAAGTAATGTGCCGGAAGCCGGTGTTTCAGAAGAATTCGTTGGTTTGATTTTGAAAATTTTAAAAGTAGTTGAAACTGGTTTTGTTTTGGTGAACATGTTGGTTCTCCACTCCTAGCAGTCATTAGAAGAAAAGAGAGGATGTTACTCTGGGAGAGGGGCTGTTCCTCTGTTCTAACTCACACAGGCTCGGCTGTTCCACTGTAGGAACATGAAAAAATTGAGCTCCTGAAGTAGCTGGGAGAGGGCTAAAAGGAGTGGTTGGTTATTCAAAGAATGGGCTTCTTTGTTATTGCTATTTGTCATAGAGTAACACTTCCTTCTACTCTGTAAAAAAAAGGAAAAAAAAAAAAACCACGAGGTAGCACAGAAGAGGAAATTACAAGTTCGCTCTCAGTGCCGGATGGGAGGAAGTAAAAGTGTTCCCAGATGGAGCTCCGAGATTATCCCGTATCTTCGTAATGTTGCATCTGGGCAGAAAGTCTGATTCTCAGTCTCGTCTCTGTTTAAGTGAAGCTTTATAGTTTTTGTTGTTTATTATGTTTCATTCATTTCTCGTATTTTTCTTCCATGGGAATCGTGGCAAAGTGGATGTGTTTGTTTCACAGGTGAACATCATTCCCATCATTGCAAAAGCCGACACCATCGCCAAGAACGAGCTGCACAAATTCAAGAGTAAGATCATGAGTGAGCTCGTCAGCAACGGGGTCCAGATATACCAGTTCCCCACAGATGAGGAGACGGTGGCAGAGATCAACGCGACAATGAGCGTAAGTCTTGGGCTGCGGAAGGGCTACCCATAGTTTCCCGAAAGCTTTTCTTGGTGGCAGCGCTGTAGTGACTAGAACCCTGGGCCGGGAATCTGATGCTTCAGTGTGGCCCAGCCTGGCGCTCTGGCAAGGCCCTTAGCCACCCTGCTACCCAGGGTCCCCGTCCGTCAGAGGGGGAAGCGAGGCAAGCCGAGCTCCAGTTTCCTTCCCACTCGGGCAGGTGGAGTCCTACGGCAGATCCCACGGGAAGGGCCTGCCCGCCCAGCACCACCTCACACAAAGCAGCTTAAAGGACGTAAATCTCTGCTCGTCTCTGGCATTGTTGGAAGAAATATATTATATCCACCCGCCTCATTTCGGTTTCTGTGATGGTTTCTTGCCTTTCCCTCCTCCTGTTTCTCGTACCCTTTCCTTGCCAGTGGTTTAACTGGCAGTTGAGGTGTGAGTTCTTCCCCTCACAGACAGGATGGTAGGGAGAGAAATGACTGAAGAAAGCTTCAGCAGTTCTCAAGTGTGTCTGCAACACGGGGTCTCCTGGTGAGCCTCCATGCTGCCCGCGGAGAGCCGAATCTTCCCGCTGCCTCTTCTGTATCTCACAGCCATGGCTCATCTCGCGGCCACAGTTACTACACATTTTTTTTTCCTTTCAGGACTGCGTAACTTCTGTAGAAGTCGCGTTCTTTGCACATAGTAAATGCCCAATGATGGTTTTTGGAATTCTTAAAATTGTAGGTTAGATTCAGTAAAATGTAATTAGAAGCTATTAAGTAAGTTGCCTTTCCCTGGATACATGTTTAAAAATGATTCAAAAGTATGCTAGTGGCAGCAGAAGTCAGTCTAGATCTTTAAATTGTGGTAGGTTGAATTATGTTCTACTTCCTTAGATCTGGTCATGAAAAGTGTCTAATGAAGTCATTATTAAATGCACTAAAGAAACTCTTTTTAAATTAACAGCCTTATAGTGAGATGTAATTGATATACTGTACAATTTACCCATTTAAAGCATGCAATTCGGTGGTTTTTAGTATTTTCAGAGTTGTACAACCATCGGCACCATCAGTTTAGAACATTTTCATCACCCCAAAGAAGAAATTGTGTATCTTTTAGCCATCAGCCCTCTAGCCATCCCAGCCCTAGGCAACCACACTTTGCTTTCTTATCTCTTATATTTGCCTGTGCTAGACCTTCCTATGAAGGGGGCATGTGCTGCCGTCCACCTGGAGAGTTAGATGACTTGGTCAAAGCTAAGAGCAGCCCTGAGACTTCAGCCCTGGCCTTGCATCTGTGTTGTCTGCCGTCATAATTTAGGAGAACAGGGTTATTCCACAAATCTCCTTCTTTTTTCATCAGTTCAGCTCACAGACTTTTCTGTCTACCACTGTTACCGTTCAGGGAGGAATTTCTTCCTTAAGTTACTGCTGAGGTGACGAGGACTTTGGAAGCCAGTGCAGCTCCTGCCCTCTCCGGGCTGCTGTGTGGATTTCAAATGTAGGAGCTCAGGAAAGCAAAGAGAGCCCGGCTCCACTCTGCTCCAGTCTGGTCGCCCTCTGAGTTGTAAGACCCACGGTGGTGGCCACGCTCCTGGGGTCAGGATAGTAAAGGCTCTGGAACTCCTGGAAACTGGAGATGCTTCCTGGGGAGATGGCCTGAGGGGCTGTGAAAGGAAGGTTGTCCTAAGGGAGCATGACTGTCCCTATTCGGAAGGCGGAGCTGAGGCGAGCAGGGGAAGGGCAGTGAGGGTTTGGCCGTCGGGACCGGCCTGTAGCAAGCACCCAGCAGAGGAGCCTGTTCCTGTCCCGGTGGACCAGAGTCCGTGTCCGCGCCCTTGGCAGAGCTGCGGCAGAGCGGTCCCTAAGCAGGATGGAAGCGGGCAGCGTGTCGGTGTCTCCGTGTCCGGAGCCCTGCGGTCGTGGGCACCTAGAGCTGCGGAATGATCGCAGCCCCCGCTGTTCTTGACATCTGTGGAGCATTTGCCACACAGCAGCCACTAGTCTGGTGGGTGGGAGCTGTTCCCGCTGCCTGGCGTGGGGAGGAGGCTGCGGCCCGGCCCGTCTCGGGCTCCGCGGCCGCTGAACCACGAGCTGGCGGTACCCGTCGTGGGAAGTTCGTGCTGCGTTAGCCCCGAGCCCCTCTGCTGCAGGGCGGCCTGGGAGGTCAGTGCAGGAGTCGGGAGATAACGGGAGCGAGTGTCATCTCATGTTCTCTGTCCCCCTCCCCGTCCCTTCAAATCATTTTGGATGGTTGTGCCCCTGAATTTGTGTTAAATTTCTCGGAAGGAAAACAGCCGTGGATTTTGGCTCTTTCTGTCTGTATCCGACTAATCGAGATGATGGTCCCAGATGAACCTTGTTCTTCCACCAGAAACTGTTTTTAGGCTCCCCGTCGCAGTGTGCCCCGCTGGCGCGGTCAGTAGAGCATGCCGCTCCGGATCTCAAGGTCATGGGGTCGAGCCCCACACTTAGGTTCTCCTTTGCAAACAATTTGGGGTGATGAAATCCCACAAGATGGGTAGGAAACACATTTCTTTGGCGGTTCCTTTTGTCGCTCAGGGTGAGCGGAGGAAGCAGTTTTCTTGGGTCGTTACCCCAAAATGTTGGCCAGAAGGGCCCTGTTGCTCCGCAGCTCCAGGGAGCACGTCACAGTTCCAGACTCAGTCTGAGAAAGAGAATATGCTTCCTCCCTACAGAGCGTGGGATGAACCAGAAAGTAGAAATATCTTGAGCATCAGTGAAATCCCACTTGGGCAGCCGGGTTCAGGGTTGTGCCCTCTGTGGGAGAGGGTTGGGCTTGGAAACGTTCTTGTCTTTCTCAGCTTGTCTGCAGTAGAGGGGCGGTGGCTCACGGAGCTTGCGGTAATCGGTCTCAGGACAGCCGCGTCAGATGCTCGTGCTCTGACGTGCTCGTAGGAAAGAGGTGGGTTTACCACCGACCCTCACCCTGCCAGCGCCCAGGATAGCCGGAGCCACCACATGAGTCAGCGGGGAGCAGTCTGGTGTCTTGACGCCGCCTCTGCTTGAGAGGAGTCTGGGCTGCAAGCCTTGGGCCAGTAATTTGGGCTAAAACGTATTTCTGACGTGAATTTTGTGCAGTGGCCATCTAAAGCCGTGCTGTTCAGTAGAAATACGAGTCACACAAGTAATTTAACACTTTTCCAGTCGTCACATTTGAAAAGGTAAAAGGGGGGTGGGGTGCCTGGCTGGCTCAGTCTGTTAAGCATTGGATTCTTGGTTTCCGCTCAGGTCACGATCTCAGGGTCATGAGATTGAGCCCCGTGTCCAGCTCTGTGCCCAGTTAGAGTCTGCTTGGAATTCTTTTCCCCTTCCTCTCCTTGCCCCTCTGCTCATGTGCTCTCTCTCTCTCAAAATAAATAAATAAAATCTTTAAAAAATGTGGCAGAAGGGGCATTATAAAAAAGAAAGTAAAAGGAAAGGTGGAATTAATTTAAAAGCTTAACTGACTATATTTAAAATATTATCATTTCAACTTATAATCAATACAAAAATTAATGAGATACTTTCACAGTAAGTCTTTGACATCCAATGTATATTTTATAATTACAGCATATCCCAATTTGGATGACTACTCAAGTTGCTCCTAACGTACTCCAAAGTTTTTCAATATGAAATAAGTCCCGAAAAGATAATTTTCATCTGTGTTTGCATCCACATTGAGCAGACTGGTTCTTTTTTTAGAAGATTTGAGTTTGAAGCAAAAAAAAAAGAAAAGAAGTGCAGTCCCCAAACAATAGAATTTTATTTAATGGAAAAATATTTTATCTTCCATTTTAAATTAAATGTAAATTAATAAAAAGTCAAATAAAACTCATGTCTTAACCCCCCAAGCCCCATTTCGGGTGCTCAGGGGCCACACGTGTTCGTGGCTGTGGTCTGGTGCGCACCCGCCCGCAGCTTCCCGTGTGGGGCGGAGACTCCTCCCGCTGCCCTGGAAGCCAGCTCCTGTCACCTGTTCCCTATCCTGTGGGAGAAAGGGTGGGGCGCGCAGCCCAACCCCACCGACCTGCAGAGCCCCGCCCCTCTCCTAGCTACCCCCCCCCACCCCCGTTTTCTCCTGCCCCCGGGTGAGGCCTGCGGCAGGGGGCCTGCGGCAGGGGGCGGTGCTCGAGAAGGTGACTCATCTCTGGGCTTGTGTCCCTTCCCAGGTCCATCTCCCCTTCGCAGTGGTTGGCAGCACGGAAGAGGTGAAGATCGGCAACAAGATGGCCAAGGCCAGGCAGTATCCCTGGGGTGTGGTGCAGGGTAGGTGCACGTTTCGGGAGGGAGTCTTCCCGTTTCACCCCTGCGGCGACCGTCCCCATCCTCCCCTCCCTGCCGTGTTTGCGGGGTGGGGGTGGGGGGTGGGGGTGGTGGTGTGTGTGTGCGCGCGCGCTCGGCCACAGGCGGGAGGGAGGGGGCGGCAGGGCTGTACACGTGGCAGTTGTCAAGCCAGGAAGCAAGACATGGTGGCCTGGTGGGTGGCCAGTGGGGAGAAGGGAGTGCAGAGGCCTCGTGCCACTGAGGCAGCCCCTCAAGAGTGTGGGCTTGTGTGGCTGAGTCATTGTGCGGTCCTGACGGGAGAGTCCTCCCCAGCGGTCTCACCCTCTTTCCTCCCTCGCTCAGCAGCCAGTTGTAAGAAAGCTACTAAACGTTTCTCGTCAATGAGAGGATACTTGCTTCTCTGTTATCTCTGGAAAACTTGTCTCCCAGTGAAATGTTATCTGACTGCATATGGGAGAACTTTGAGGCTGTCTGACCTGTGCTTGGCACTGTGGGACATGCCCACAGTCTCTGACCTAAAGGAGCTTCCCATAGGTCGCTTTGTTGGGCAAGGACTCTGTTAGCTGCCCTTGGGCCTTTTGGAGGAAGATGCGCAGTGCTAGAGGTCAAGTAGAATCACTACGGAAAGTTCCTTCACTGCTTTAAGCTCTATCAGTCCTCCTTTTCTGTTGTTCTGAATAAAGGCCATAAATCTGAGAAGCGAGAAGAGATTACACCTTTGGGATCCCTAGGAGAATGACAGGTTTTTTTTGAGTCTTACCTGTTTTCTCTACAATAAAACTTTTCCTAGTGTTGATAAAAATTAAAAGAAGTGGTATGTAAAAACTGCCTTGTATTCCTCCTGGGGGCACGGAGGGGTGGAAATGACCTGGCTTTGCGGCCAGATGTTGGGGTGTTTGAATGTAGACCTGCTACCTCTCAGGTCAGCATGCCTAGCTCAGCCTTGCTTCTGCGTCTGCAAGACAAGAGTCACGACGCCTGCTGGGCAGAATTATCCTGAAGGGTAAAGACCGTATCTGTAAGGTCCCTCCCACAGGGCAGGCCCCCGGTGGTCACCGTGGTCATCGGTATTACGGTCCGCGCTGTTAGCCGTCTTGTCCTCGTTGCAGGTGTGAGGCGAATCCCGTAGAGGGTCAGCAGGTGGCCTTGAGACCAGAAGTTTCAGGAGCCATGGTGGTAAACCTCTGCAAAGCGTCACTTCAGATTTTCAGGGGCGTCACTGCTCATAGCCGCCCCACCTTGCCGTGTCTTGCAGTTGAGAACGAAAGCCACTGTGACTTCGTGAAGCTGCGGGAGATGCTGATCCGCGTGAACATGGAGGACCTGCGAGAGCAGACTCACACCCGCCATTACGAGCTGTACCGGCGTTGCAAGCTGGAGGAGATGGGCTTCGAGGACACGGACCCGGACAGCAAGCCCTTCAGGTGCGAACGCGCCCGGCAACCCGCTGCCGGCGGCTTGAGTGGCGCGTTGGCTTACTACGGAAATGCTTATTGGATTAGGGCTCCTGGTGGCTCAGCTAGTTGAAGGCCGGTGCTTGGTTCCAGCTCAGGTCATGATCTCGGGGTTGTGAGAATGAGCTCCGAGCCCCGCGTTGGGCTCCGTGCTCAGGGGGATGTCTGCTTCAGGGTCTGGCCCTCTATCCTTCCCTGCACGGGTGCGCGCGCACACACACACACACTCGCTCCCTCACTTGCACTCTCAAATAAGTAATCTTAAAAAAAAAGATATCGGTGACAGAGGGACCTGGTGGGGACACGTTAGTAGCGTAATACCCAGGCACTGTGATCTGCACCTCACTGGCGTTATCTCAGCTGACGCATGTAGTCGGCGTCATTATCCTCCGTTTTACGGGTCGGCACGTTAAGGCACCGAGAGCATAAACCACCTGCCAGGGCACTGTGAGTAGGAGGTGAGCCCCGGCTCTGAACCGCTCCCTCCCGGAGGACGGAGCCCGGCCCCGGGGTTCACAGAGCTGCGGCCGCTCACTGCAGCGTTCTGCGCTGGGGCTGCCCGCAGGGTCTCCCTCCCCAGGGCTCTTCTGCCAGCCACTGTGGTGGCTCAGTGTGGTACCAGCCACTCATGAGGACGAAAGGGAGTAACTTCCAGAAGCCATCTTGTGTATCTTCCCACATCGTCAGTGGGCGGAGATGAAGGCAGGCAGGACGTGAAGGGGAGAATATCAAAGTCAATGTGGAATTAGTGGCCCAGCAAAGGCCCCGTCCTGGTCAGGACAGGGTGGTGGTGGGGGGGCTGGCAGGGGTGAGTACGTTGGCGGCGGAGTGGTGATGGCGGGGGGCTCCCAGGCCAGATTCGCCGCCTCTCGGCGCAGGAGGGGATTGCCTTGTCCGTCCTGGGCCACACGACAACTCGGTGGAGACTTCAGGTGAGGTGATGGTGTGAGGTGTGTCTGGGCACAGGTTAGGGGCTGCAGTTCCTTGGAAAAGACTATTTCCTCCTCTGCTGTCTCCGTTTTTGGCTTTTATAAAAATCCCTCCTGCAAGCCCACCAGGAGGCCGGGTTGCTGGGCGGTCCGGCTGGGCTTCTGCAAGGCCTGGCAGAGCTGGGTCCAGTGGACCGCTCTGGCCTTCCTGACTTCGGGGCTCCGAGTGGTGGCAGAGGTCATCCAGGCCTTCTGACTCGCAGACGTAAGCTTCACCCCTGCATCTCCCGCTCCCCATTTGCTTCCATTTCTGGCCTAAGGTTTCCTTGTTTCGTTTTGTTTTGACATCTCACTATACTCTCACTACATTTATTTTTTCATTGATGTATAATTGACACACAATATTATATTGATTTGAGATGTACGACATAGCGATTAATTCTGTGCAGTGCTCAGTGCTCACCAGGAGAAGTGTGGTCACCAGACAGCATTACTACAGTATCGTTGACTGTATCCCCTGTGGTGTACTTTCCGTCTCCATGACTGATCTATTTTACAATTGGTACAAACCTGACCCATCCCTGTCCTCCTTTATTTATATCTCTTTCCTCTTTATTTCACCCATCACCTCGCCCCAGCCCCCCAACCACCAGTTTGTTCTTTGTATTTAAGAGTCTGGTTGGTTTTTATTACTTTGTAAATTCATTTGCTTTTTTTTTTTTTTTTTTTTTTAAGATTTTTTTATTCACTTAGAGCAGGGGGAGGGGCAGAGGGAAAGGCAGAGAGAATCTCAAGCAGAGAGTGAGATGGAACCCGGTGGAGCCCGGCTTGGAACCCGATCCCATGAGCTGGGATCATGACCTGAGCCAAAACCGTGAGTGGGATGCTTAACCACCTGAGCCACCCACGTGCCCCATTTATCTCTTCCATTTTTTAGATTCCCCATATAAGTGAAATCATATGACATTTGTCTTTCTCTCTCTGTCTTATTTCACTTAGCGTAATCTCTTCTAGGTCCATCCATCTTGTCATAGACAGCAAGACCTAATTCTTTCTTCGTAGCTGGGTAATACTCCACTGTGGGTATATGCCACGTTTTCCCTGGCCACGCACTTACTGATGGATGCTTAGGTGGTCCCTTATCCTGGCTGTTGTAAATAAAGTTCAATAAACATAAGGTGCATAGATCTTCTCAAATTAATAGTTTTGTTTTCTTTGGGTAAATACCCAGTAGAAGAATTGTTAGATTACACAGTATTTCTAATTTTGTAGGAACCTCCACACTTTTCCAGAGTGGCTGCCCCAGTTTACATTTCCACCAACAGCATGTGGGGGTTCTCTTTTCTCCACGTCACCACAAACACGTTATTTCCTGACTTTTTGATACTAGCCATTCCAAAAGGCATGAGGTGTATCTCATTTGTGGTTTTGGTGTGCATTTCCCTGATGATGAGGGATGTCGAGCATCTTTTTATGTGTCTGTTGGCCCTCTGGATGTCTTCTTTGGAAAAATGTCTGTTCAGATCCTCTGCCCATTTTTCAATTGGATTTTTTTGGTGTTGAGTTGTGCGAGTTCTGTATATAGTTTGGGTATTAACCCCTTATGCGCTACTTCACTAGCAAATATCTTCTGCTACCCAGTACATTGACTTTTAGTTCTGTTGGTGGTTTCCTTTGCTTTGCAAAAGCTTTTTAGTTTGATGTAGTCCCAGTACTATTTATTTCCCTTGCCTGAGAAGACATGTCTAGAAAGAAAAACAAAGCTGGAGGTATCACAGTCCCAGATTTCAAGATACACTACAGAGCTGTAGTAACCAACACACTGGCATGAAAAAAGACACATCGATCAGCGGGACAGGATAGAGATCCCAGAAAAACTCAGACTTATGTGGTCAGTTACTTTATGACCAAGGAGGTAGGAATATGTGATGGGAAAAGAATCTCTAACCAGTGGTGTTGGGGAAACTGGACGGCCGCAGGCAGAAGAATGAAACCGGACCGCGCTCTTACAGCACACACAGAAATAACTCAAAATGGATTAAAGGCCTAAATGTGAAACCCGAAACCATAAGCTCCTTGAAGAGACCGCAGGCGGTTTCTCTCCCACTGGCCGTAGCAACATTCTGTAGATGGGTCTCCTCAGGCAAGGGAAACAAAAGCAAAAATGAAGTATTAGGGGACTGAGGTTTCCTTTTTGATAATAAAATGGGGGAGTATATATTATAAATACACATCCAAACGTTTACTCTTTTCCCTATATAAAAAAAAAGTAGACAAAAGTAGGCCTTCCGAACCGCTTGCCGTCCCTTTCGTTACTGGGAACACTGGAAGTGGTTCCTCCCAGAAATGCACTGGCTTACGCTCCGGGCGTCCACCTCGGTGCGAGCGAAGACCGGCGGAGCCTCAGAGCCGGCTTTGAGTCGGCTGTGCTGGCGGGTAGGGAGGCGAAATCGACCGGGTCTTCCGTTCCGGAGAACCACTGCTGGGAAAAGGGCTCGCACGTCCCCTCCGGGGCGCCTCCGGCTTCCCGGGCACTTGCCGGTGAGCCTGGGACCGCACTGAAGGGGCGGGGGGTGCGGTGAGGGGCCCCGCGGGGAAGATGCCGCAGTTCCTGAAGGCAAAGGCTGCGGCTGGGTTGAGTGGCTTCCCGGAATTTCATCTTCCGAGTGCTCATTCCTGGACGCCCTTAGATGTTTTTCCCGCGGGCATTTTGGGTGCGCCGAGAGGGGTGTGAGTGTGATTCTCAAAGAGGAGGGTTTCTGCGGGTGCGCGAGGGAGTCCGTCCTTCCCTTCGAGCACCCCGTGTCTCTCTTTGTCCTCCAAGCCCCTCTTGCATTTTCGAAGCAGACAATGGCCTCTAAAGCCAAGGCTGGGAAGGGGCCGCCGTCACCCGAGCACCCTGTGCCGTGAGAGACAGAAGCCGGAGCCGGGGGAGCCCAGTAATAGGCTGTGGGAAAGCCTGGGGAGGACATCGGAGGCCGCAAAGCCGAGGCCGTCCCTGCTAGTGTCCTTGAACCTGCCGCCGTTCAGAGTTGTCTGGGGCAGAATCTCCGTGTCTGTCCACCTGTGTACCTGTGCAGATGGCAGCCTGCTGTCCCCTGTGCCCCGCTTTCCACCTGCTGCCCTGCAGCCCTCAGCCCAGCCAGAGCAGTGCGCCTCCTCTGGACCCCGGTCTCCCTTCCCTAGACCGCAGCGGGGAGCGGATTAGGACCTAAGTGGGGTCTGGACCCCTCTTGTTCCTGCTCCTTCTCTCCTGAGACACCTTTGCCCTTTTCCCAACAGTCCCTGCCCAAACTGCCCCTTCCTCATCTCAGAATACCACCTTTTCCTGACTGTGTCAGGTCACAGAAAGAGCTCTGTTCTCTCAAGAGATCTCTCAAGAGATCACAGAGTTTTCAGGTCTGTGAGACCCATTTGTTTGGGGGGAACACGGAGACCTTGGTTCACCAGCTGTGCGGTGTAGTGGGCGGAGCTCCAGCGTGAGCGTCTCTGGTGTGGGACCCAGACAGATGACTACACACTTGTATCCGAGTTTCTTCATCTAGGAGGCGGGAGGTGGATAGCGATACCCGCCGTACCGGCTTCTTGTGAGGATTGATGAGTTCTCGTGTGTAAATGCTTCACGAACGCTGGTGACGTGTCGTTCTCTGGCACGCCCTTCGCCAGGTTGTTCCTGGGGGTCGGAACAGATTTATTCTGTGGAATTACCAGAGGAAAGTCTGGACTGAACTACCCGTGCTCAGTTCTCCTTTCCCTTGACTTCCGTGAGCAACACCCACCTCCGCTTAGGGCTGTTGAGGAAACGAGAAGAGGGGAGGGTGCCCGGCTGGCTCAGCCCAAGGAGCACATGACTCTTAATCCCAGAGTTGTGAGTTTGAGCCCCACATTAGGTGTAGAGATTACTTAAAAATAAAATCTTAACTATAAAAGTGAGAAAGTGAGAAGGGAGAATCTGTGGTTTCAGTCCAGCTTAAAACTTTGCTTATTTCTCATTGAGAAAAGGGTGTTAATAACTACAATTAAAAATTAAGTCAAAAGAGCTAAAAATGGCCAGAGACGTCATCCCACTGGGCATCTGTGAGTGGATGACACAGAACCAGTTCCTTCCCAACTGGTTTTTACTGACCTGAAGCATTAGTGAGGGTTTCTGCTGTCATTTATAACTCCACTGGCAGAGGCTTATGGGGACAGTGACCCCGTGAATGTGGATGTGTGGTGGTACGAAGTCATTTCTCAGGCTCTCACTGAAGTTGTGACTCCTTGGTGTACGGGCTTAAGATTTCCTGAGTGTTGCTCATCATTTCCAGGGTCAGTGTTCGGAGCCTGGCTCATGTCCTAGGACACAGTGATGGCACGAGTGGCATTTGTCGAACCCACTTTCCTGTTCCAGCCCAGATGTCAAGGCTGTGGCTGGGTCTCCACAGCCGAGGCCCTCCGACTGGTTGCAGCGTTGCCTGATCGCCTTTTTCTAGGACACGGGCTTTCCGACTTTGGGTGGCAGCCTTCACTATAAAATGTGTTCTCTGTCTTGTGATCCGGTCTGCAAATTTTGAAGTACATCTGTTCTTACTGTTTGCCCTGCACTCTGGTATTTTCTCTTCTATTCTGTTAAGCTTTTTCATTGAGCATACTGGTTAAGACCGTCGTTTGGGTCATGACCCATAGTTTGAAATGTGTCTCCAGGAACTGGAGCATAGGTAGGTTTTGACTGGGACCGGATGAGGCAGAGTCATTGTGAGGGCTCTCATACCCTAGGTAGGTAGCTGTGGGTTACTTTAAGAAGTGTTCACGATTAAACAGATTTGGGGAGCTCTAAGTAAATAAACAGGTTCTTGTATGTAAGGACTTTTAGAGCATTTAAGACAAGCGGTGCTTGGTGGACGAGTTACATGAAGTCACCTGGAAGCATTTAAAAAATACAGATGATTTGTTCACCTGACATCCTGAATCAGCCCCTCCAGGAGTGGGGTTAGGAAACGGTTCAGAAAAGTCCAATAAAATGGGCCCAGGTGATCCTGACAGGCTCCCATGGTTGGGGGACATGCGTATTGTGACTCTCCCAACGGGAGACCTCACAGAGCATTTTCCCTGGACTCCGTTGCCTCGGGAACCCCTCTTCTGAAGATCCCTTGAAACCCAGTGATCTCTGAACACATGTTGGGTAGTATTTTCTGTAAAACGTGTTCCACTCCTCATTAGGAAGAAGTGAGCGCTTATATTCATTATCGTAAAGTAAAAAAGTTTCCCTCAACCTTTTGTACCAGAGACAGGTCATCTTCTGCCTTTGGCAACTCTGATCCAAGCAAAGGTGACGAAGAGTTCATAGGTGCCAACAAGCAGAATCAAATTCATGAATTAGTTCTGAGAGTACATTTCCACATCTTAAATTTCAAGTGCAAATACTGCTACTAACATTAACCACGTCCACACTGGCCAAAGTTGTTTTTGTTTTGGAAGATAACACACAAGCTAAACGTGCCTCTGGGAACTCATAAAGTACTTGATTGTTCATTAACGGTAGTGCTGACACTCGTGAGGGCAGGAGAACTTTTTAAAATTTACTTACTTATTTATTTATTTGGGAAAAGAGCGTGCGGAGCGAGAGGAAGAGAATCTGAAGCAGGCTCCGTGCCCAGTGCAGAGCCTGACCCGGGGCTCGATGACCTGAGCCCTAGTCACGAGTGAGTCACCCCACTGACCGAGCCACCCGGACGCCCCAGGAGAACTTACTTTTAATCAACCAATAAAAGTGTTGGTTAGAGAATTACAGGCAATCCCGACTGATGCACATTCTGGTTGTTTATCTGCGTGCATTCCTGCTCCCCCACCTGAGCGTCCTTTTCCTCCTTGTGAAAGGACGAGTGTGGATGCAGGAGGCTCCGCGTGGCGGCCTGGCTTGTCCACGGTGCTCGCCGCGCAGAGTCAGCACCCGGGATGGACTCAGTCCGCAGGTAAGCGGGTCATCCTGCAGCGCTGTGTTCCTGTAACAAGTCTGGCTGTGGGGGAGCGGCCGGGGCCAAGTGGAAAGAGCACCTCACCAGACTCTGTGCAGGTGTGGGCATGGGGGCGTGTTTCCTTAACTCGTGTTACCAAAAGCGGCTTTTCCGTCAGCATATCTGCTCCGACGTAGAGATAGAGCCGAGTCTGGCATTCAGTTCAAAACACTGGGCTCAAAGTTCTGTAGCTCTTCAGGAGGAGGGTGAGGCTTCAGATAAAAATAAAATTCCTGCCTGCTCGGTTTACCGTTGGTAACAGAACTTGAAAAGTAGCAGTTTTCTGTAATATCTGTAGATAGACGGTTGTCTCTTTAGATGGGTCACGGCATTGTTTTCTGAATTGGGGAGAGGAGGGGGGTGCGTGGGAGAAGGGTAGTGTTTGCCCCTGATGGTGTGTCCAATGCTGTCCCCGCTTGGCCCCTGTGTCACTCCCATGATCCTGTCCGGAGGAGGTAAGTGCCACTGTATCCGCCTCTTACAGACGATGTTGAGGCCTAGGGACGGTGCCCTTCCCCAGACCGGCCACTGAGCTGCTGCGGCCCGAGTCCAGACCCTGCTCGGGGGTTCCAATGCCGGTGCGTGCTCTCTGCCACGCTATGCGGCCTTCATGCCCTAAAACTCTGCCTTTTGCTTGGTGCCTGCCTTGTTGGCCGATCTGGGAGCTATGGGCCAGCCCAGACCAGGCGTCGCCTCTGCGAAGACACTCGGGGGAAGCGTGGCCAGAGAGTCATCCGCCACTGACTCGGCTCCGGTTCTCCGTGCGCTTGTCTTTGTCCTCACTGCGTGACTGAAAGGAGGATGGAGTGTGCCACGTTATGTGTCCTTTAATACAGGAGGTGGCAGCCTCATCTATTTTTTTTTTTAAAGATTTTATTTATTTGACAGAGATCACAAGTAGGCAGAGAGGCAGGCAGAAAGAGAGGAGGAAGCAGGCTTCCCGCTGAGCAGAGAGCCCGATGCGGGGCTCGATCCCAGGACCCTGAGATCATGACCTGAGCCGAAGGCAGAGGCCTAACCCACTGATCTATTTTTTGGGAAGCAATGAGTAGGAATTACATGAGCTGAAATTTCCTGTTCACCTTCACAACACTGTCCTTGGTTTGTGGCTTTTGAACAGTCTTCAGGAGACCTACGAAGCGAAAAGGAACGAATTTCTGGGAGAACTTCAGAAGAAAGAAGAAGAGATGAGGCAGATGTTTGTGATGAGAGTAAAGGAGAAGGAGGCGGAACTTAAAGAGGCAGAGAAAGAGGTAAGCCCTAGGCCTGTCTCCTCGGGGCGGGGCCAGGTCAGCGAGCTGTGTGACGGGCACGTCCCGGTTTGCAGAACCTCGTGCGCTTCTGCGTGCTCTCCGCATGTGTCTTAGCACACGAACAGCAGACGGACGTGGCGAGGAAGTGCCGGTCAGGTGTTCTTAGCCCCATTTTCCAGATGATAAAACTGAGGCCTGGAGGTTAGATGATCTCTGCAGTCACATAACCTAGTATGTAGCGCAGCTGAAACTACAACTAGACCTTAGGTCTCCAGGTGAGGTCCCGTGTTCTCTATAGCTATGTATTTCCTCAGTTTTAAGTCTTGCAACGTAAGAGTTGGGATTCTGGGACCATTATTACAGTCTGTCCACCAGCTCGGTGAGCCAAGCCTTGGAGGGGCCCCGGGGTGCCCCCTGCTGGGTGACGGTCTCCACGCTCTGCCTCTGGTTGTGGGCCTCTTCCTGGACAGGCTCACACTCGCTGCTCCAGGTCCTCGAGACTCCGTGTCATTGCCTGAGACCAGGCCCCGTTAACCGCCTCCTGGAAGTTCACACGGATTTCCGCTGTGGCACGCATCCCACCGAGACGGGGGCAGGTGGGGGGAGACGACAATCTCCCTGTCTCCGCCGGCCGATCAGGAGTATCTCGGGCTTGTACATTTCCAAATTGTCTGCACGGTTTCCTCATCGTTCCCTTTAAAGTAATCTTTATCAAGACAACTGAACGTTAGTGGCTGTTAAAGTAGCTAAGCCCTCGGTATAGTTTTGCTGCGGAGCAAAGTTGATCCTGGCTTGTTGTTGGCTATAGGTACAAAGCGGAAGCCGGATCGAAATCTACAATTACCTAGTAACAGCTTTTTTTCTTACTTCTTTCTGTCCTTCCTGCCTCCCTTGTTGCTTTTGTTTCTGCCTTGTGATAATTTTCTAAATTCGATTTGTGAAGGAATCTGCCAGAAACCTCCTAACAGATTACTATTCCAGTAGCCTGTAGTCTCTGCATCACTGTGTGTGTCTGTAAGTAAGTGTATATTACACACTTTGAAAAAGGACCAGAAATCCAGAACTACTCTTACCACTTGGGTAAATTGCTAGTTCAGAGTGTGGATAATTTTGACCATGTATTTTATTATCAGTAAGAACGAACAGGATTCCCTTCAGTGTGCTGGTGTCCAAGTCTGAAGGGCGCGTCGTAGGGCTTGGAGGGCCGCTCTCTGCCCCCCGGGGCTCCTCCCCTGCCCCCGACAGTGCAGGACGGCGCTTCCATCGCAGGTGCGGCAAACGGAGCGTCCTTTGTTTTTGAACAGACGCACGCGGCCTCCAGCAGTACCTGTCACTCCCTCACCCAGCTCAACCCCCTCTTTTCCTCTCCAGCTCCATGAGAAGTTTGACCTCCTGAAGCGGACACACCAGGAAGAGAAGAAGAAGGTGGAGGACAAGAAGAAGGAGCTGGAGGAGGAGGTGAGCAACTTCCAGAAGAAGAAGGCGGCCGCTCAGCTCCTGCAGTCCCAGGCACAGCAGTCTGGGGCCCAGCAGACCAAGAAGGACAAGGATAAGAAAAAGTAAGCGGGTGTCCCCCCACGCTTCGGGGCCCTCTTAACAATTTATTCCTCTTGCATGTTTCCGCTTTTCCTATTTACAGACTGGAAGCTGGTCTGTTACCAGAAAGATAAAAGCAAGTCTGTTCTCCACAGTACAGGGAAGATGGTACAGGTTTCTGAAGTGTTCGTAAAGGGTGCACAAACGTAATGGATAAAACTGGACCGTAGGGCCACGCGGTCGGGGCTGGAGGAACCTGCTGTCCCCAGCGGCGTCTTCTGCACCAGCGCTAGGACTGGAGAAGACGGTCTGTTTCTCTTCAGGGCTCTCTGGAGACAGGCCTCGAGACTCCTGATGGAGGGCGTCCTGAATGGACGGTGGTTAAGATCGTTCTTTTCCGTGGCGCGGCTTGATAGCCCGTCACGGGAAGTCTTGTTTCCAAAGGGGAAGACTGGGACAGACGGCTAGGGGCCACCCGGTTTTCCCCTAAATGCGACAAGCTGGTGAACTGTGGATGCGTACACCTTCCCGTTCAGACGCCCCCCGCCCCCCATCCTCAAAGCACACGAAAGAGTATCTGAGACACAGCCTTGATTTCACGTGCCCACGGGTCAGGTCCTCTCTCTGGGTCGCCGCCTCCCGTCGCAGCGGCAGTGGCGGCCGCCTGGGTCCCGCGGGGTTGCAGGCCGGCCTCGGCCTCTCGCGCCAGCCGGTCGGCACGAGCGCAGGGCGGTTCGGGCACCATCGCGGCCGGCTTGGCGGCGGGCGCAGGGCAGGACGAGCCTTCCCGGTCGGCCAACCCCGGGCGCCGCCCTCCCGCGTCTGCTGAGCGGGTGGGGCTCTCGGGCCGCGACCGGGCAGCCCCGGACGGGTGTCGGGGTCCTTAGTCTTGACCCTCCGGGGCCAGGTCCCGGGTTCTAGGGGACGCGCTGGGGAGCGAGCGCGCAGGAGGGCCGCTGGGCGCGGGGCAGGTGGAGGCCGCAGCCGAGCGGCCCGGAGCGGGTGTGCGCGGCGGCCGGGCCTGGCCGCAGGGGTGCGCGCCCCGACGGGTGTCGTCAGATGTCCGATGCTCTCGCACCGCGACGCACGAGGGTTTTACATCCTCCTCCCACACTCGGACTTCGCGAACGCTGAGCCGGCAGGACACGCGTGAAGAGGGCGAAGAAGTAAGCGCGTTCTCTGGGCCACGGAAGGTCGTGGGCGAAGCGCGCTGCGAGTTCAACGGGGTCGGTCCAGACGCGAGTGATGGAGCCCGCCGGGGGCTGGAACCTGAGTCAGGCCGGACTAAGTCTGAGCGGAACCGCCGGCCGCCCCGTAACCCCGTCCCGGAAAGCGTCCCGTGCTGTGCGCGCGGGGGAGCCGCGGCCACTCGCTGGGTCGGTCCCGCGGCCCGGGACTCCGGCTCCTCCAGTGCAGACGGACGGGAAGTCACGGGGCCTCGTTCCCCTGTTGACCCGAACTCACCCAGGATAGAGTGTGTGCGAGTGTGCATGTGTCTGTGTGTGAATGTGAGTGGGTGGGTGGGTGTGTCAGTGTGTGTGAATGTGTGTGTGTGTGTGAATGTGTGTGAGTAGGTGCACGCACGTGTGGGCCCACATCCGTAGGGATGGATGAAACAAAGCTGCTGACTCACGGCTTAGGAGACCCAGAGTCAAGTTTTTCTTACCCTGAAGCACTCGTGTGCATAAAGGTACACGTCTTCTAAGATCTTCTTAAAAGACCAGCAACATTCGAGGAGATGCCCGGCGCCCTGGACGTGCCTTGAAGCCACACAAGCCACATGAGCTGCTCCGCACTGTGCCTCCGTTGGACAACAGTCTGTGTAGGGACAGACTTCCCGGGAGGGAGGTTTCTCCTTGCCCTTGCAATCATTTTAGGTTATTTTCATCCCAACCTCGGCCTTAGCATTGTATAATGCCTTTCAAGTTCATACAAAATATGTGTAAATTCTATTTTAGTCTTATTTATACATTCTCTTGTATTAGTACTAGAATTAGACTTCATTTGGTGCACAGCAGTGACCAGATTTCGTACCTGACAGTGGCACATACTTTTTGGGTAGGTTCTTAACCTTTTCTACAACTTCCCCATCTGAACGCCGAAGGCAGCTGCCAGTTGGAGGCCTGGGTGTGGAGGTGAAAGGACCCCCGCCCCGCCCCGGGGGCCTGGGGGCAGTTTGGGCTGGAGAGGACACCGGAAGACGGTCACTGGAGCGGCACTTTGGAGATGAATGGGAGACTGCGTGTTCTCCCGTGGCTGGAGGCGATGCCGGGGTCCCCTGCGTGCCCCTTCAGAGCTAGCTTTGTTGCGGGGAGAAAATTGTTCTAGAAAGAGATGCTCACTTATTCACTCGCTATGCTTCCACCTTGAAAATTAACTCCGTGTTTCTAATAGTTTCAAATTCTGTTTTGCTCTTCTGGGGATGCGCCCCCTTTTTAACATACGTAAGGCTTTATACTTCTTGGCCTGTGGTGCCACGAGAGCCCACATGTCCTAAGGTAACAGTCAAAGTAGAGCCGACCGGGGGCACCTCCCGTCCTCCCCAGCCGGCGCTGCCCAGGGTGAGGCCTTCAGCGGACCCCGTTCCTCCATTTGGAAAACTTGGCACCACTGCCGTTGCCAGGAGGCCTGGGTGGTGACGTTTCATCCCCACCCAGAACGAAGGTTTTAAAATCCATCATTTACAAATGGTCGCTGGCATCCGAGAACGACAGGTTACGCAGAGGCTCTTGGGGACAGTGTCGTGCTCTGCCCCCAGCGCTGCAGCCACCACCACCGAGTGCCGGTCCTGCTTCCCCTTCCCGAGTGCATGCGTGGCCCGTCCCCGTCCCCTGCACACCAGTCCCCGAGTCAACGGCTCAGAGACGGTGCTGCAGATTTATTCTCTGACTCCAACCGCCCCGACACGGAACGATGCGCTTCTCTTCAGCGCCGAGGGGAAGCCGAATTAGTAGATAATGTTCTGTGTTATTTGAGAAAAAGAAAACCTTCCATATAACATGGAGTGGCTTCAAGAAGTCACTCCTAAACTCTCAATTACATGCAAATGGAAACTAACCGTGTGTTCTTTAATTCAGTATTAAAATGTTGCTTTTGCTTGTCCTGTAGAATAGCTTCCTCTGATGCGTGGTTTTAATTTCTGTCAGTTCCATAATCATTGCATGAGCATTCACCATCACCGAATGCTGGTGCTGGCGCTCCTAATTTTCCTTTCTTTTTTATTATTATTTCTAACTTTTTTGTTTTGTTTTTTAACTTGCAGTGCAAGCTTCACATAAAGCCTGGCAAGCCAAGGACGGTCCCGCATTCACCTGCTTTTGCAGTAATATTGTATCTCTGCCATCTGTGTCCTTTTGTTTTATTTCGTTATTTTTTTTACCCTTCCCCAGACACCAGTAACTATTAACTCATTTTGCTGAATGTTGGTGGGTAGCGGAAAATGACAGAACAAGAGAATGACACCAAAAGCTGTGTGCCGCTGGACTCTGTTTCTGGAAAGTCAGTGATTTGCCTTTTATGCCTGTTCCGAGCAGCGGGAAGCATGCCTGTTGCTTGTGTGCCGCTTGGGACTGGGGGCCAGCGGGTCGCTGGCTCCGTGTACGTCTGTCGGGAGAACTCGTCACCGCCTCAGCAGCTGAGCGCTCGTCCCGATGCCCGTGACGGCTGTTTGCTCTTCTCCGTTCCTCACCCCCTGGTGGCAGGAGCCCACGACCCACTCTGCCCCTCCTCCATCCCGCCCCAGCCGAGGTGGCCTGCACAGGTGGAACAGGGGCCGGCTCAGGACTGTCACACCTGCATGGGATTCTCATGATGATGCTAACATTATTGGACCCGTGCGGGGGTCTCTTCAGACCATCCGCTCTTACGGCTTTAAACACGTGTCCAATCCCCCCTCTCCAGTCTTGGCCAAGTTGGACCACAGTGAGATAGCGCGTCGTGTTCCCTTTTATCAGCGCGACCTTGACCGTGTCCCGCTCGGGGATCTGCAGGGTCAGGTAGTGGAGCGTGGCCAGAAGCCGCGTCCGCGGGAGGACGGGCTCCCACGGCCTCCCGCGCTCACAGCAGGCGGCGCTCACCCTGTCCGAGGCGGGCCGGCTCGGCTCGGTGCTCGCTGCTGGTCGCGCTGCGCCCTCGTCGGGAGGAGAAAACTGCGGGGCCGAGGCAGGTAGAAAGTCTGCGACCAGCTGGTGTCCTCTGCAGCCCCACTTCTGGGGGCCTTGCCCGTTCCAGGGGCGCAGAGGAAGAAGGGCTAGAAGGGCTGGGGTTTCAGGTCCGGCTGTCCCCAAGGGTCTCCTCCCCCTGTCCCCGCGCTGCAGCGGCACCCGTGGCCGTGGCCGCAAGGGTCAGGGCCACCCGGGAAGGCCACGCAGATCCCAAACCACACTCGGAGCGAGGGGGCGTGTGTCCCCGCCTGTACCGCTCCTTCGGGGGCTTGTCCCTTGTCTTCCCGGTCTGCCCCGCTGCTGACAGCCCGGGGGCTGCGGGTCCTCACGCGGCTGCTGCCCTGAGCCACCCCCGCTTCCTCCGGCCCCCGCCGGCCACACGCTGCGTAAAGGGGACAGACACACACTGTGACCCCCGGACCCACACGCACCCTCTGTGGTCGTTGTCACAAGTCTCTGGTTGCTTCCAGTAGTTTCGTTCCTTCTCTTCATGCTTAACCACACGCTCGGGGGAAGGAAGTAAGGCTCTCCCCGGACCCAGGTCCGCCCTTAGCCAAAGTCCGGATTCGGTTCCGCTGAAGGCTGAACCGGGCCTGGCTCGGAGCCGCGGGCTGGGACCGCGATGGCGGCACGAAGGCCGGGGTGGGAGCCCCTGGCCTCGTGCTGTCGTCGTGCTTGTCGCGCGCCCGGCTGCTGGGCACGTCCGCTCGCCGAGGCTGACCTGGCTGTGGCCGCGCTGAGGCCTGACTCCTGTGTTGTGTGCTCCGGCTGCTGCTTGTGTGTGAGCGTTTCTGTGCCTTCTAACAAAATACGCTTCTCGGTTCCGAAAATGGTCCCCTCAAAATGACCATTTTTGCGCTAAAGCCTTTTCTCAAAAGTGAGCCTCGCTGCGAAAGGCATCCAGCGGACTTTGATCCCAAGATTGCTGATGGATTGATTCCCCCATGAAAATTGTCACAACAAAATAAACCACATGGAGAGTCAGGGAATAAAAAGTCAAAAGAAAGTTCTAGAAGCTCGCTCTTTTTAAAAAAAAACCAACGTTGTTTCTAAACTCTCTGCCCCGCTCCCTGGCCCTGTTGGGTTGGTTGTTGCTGCCCTTCTCTTCTTTCTGTGTCTGTGCCTTTCTTCACAGTAGTCCTTGGCTCTGCACGGAATAAATGACCCCTCAAATCTAATTGGATGTGCTTTCGCCTCTGCATGTAAGTACGGCACTAAGAAAACCTGGAGATCTTTCTGACTTTTTGAAATTAGAGAAGCAAATGGGATAGATGGACCCCCCCCCCACTTTCTGGAGGGAGGTAGGGAGGGAAGGTTAGAGTAGCCTTTATTAAGAAAAAAAGGAAACACTAAATATATTTAAAATAGCCACATTTGTACCTTCCCCACAGTAAATACAAATTTAGCTTTTCCTTGATGCCGTGTGGAAGTCAGAAGTTACTGTTCCAGGCTGCGTTTCACACAGCCTGTGGGCATCACTGGACATTACAGAAGGTCCTTGGTTCTGACTATGGAGTAAAACTAGAATAAGAAATGACCACCTTCCTTTGGAGAAAACCAAGAGGGAAATATTTTTTATGTTAGGTTGCTTAATTTTTTGAAGATCTTGGTTTAATGGTCTTTCCCTCCCGCTGACTGCTGGCAGTGAACACAGCTTTTTTTTTTTTGCTAGACAGCTCTCGGGGCCTCTCCCCATATCTTCTGTTTAGCCACAATGACCATTGCTTTTGGACTTTAGGTCCGTGTAATGGTCGTATGTGCAGTAGAATGATGGAAAAGCACTTATGAGAATTTTCTGGCAGTTAGGGACTTTGTTTTCCCAGCTTAGGCTCCTCATTAATTGGTCAGAGTTTTGTCCAGAAAGGGCATCTCAACCAGGGGAACATTTAAGGTCACACTGGGCACAGGTTCCTTATTGTCTTCCTTCTCTGCTTTGTAATCTCACCAGCAATAACACTTATTCTCCATATCTCGTGCACCTCAAACGGACGGACTGGGTTTCTTCACTTTCTGACATACCCCTAAGTGTTGCACACACACACTGTTGAATCTGGGTTTCAGCTATTAGCGACCCGTGTCATACTGTGTCTCGTGTGGTCCTTCCAAACCCGTCCTTTTAGATCCCTCTGCTTTGCCGTTTGCGAGTGTGTGACATCGTCAAGTCTCAGCTTCCAGAAAGTCTTGGTTCCACTGACAGGATCTATAGGTGATGACTTTTTAGTGGAAACTATGACCTACAAAGTCTAGATTGTATGTAGGTATGAAGGGAATTTTTTAAATAAACGAAAAGCTGTGAACAGCATTAGAACTTTGTCTATTTCTTAATTTTAAAATATGCTGATATGCCTTAAACTGTAGTTGTAGATCGCTGTCATTTTGCTGTTTGAAAATAACCAGTGTGTTTCTACAAGTGTTGTGTAATCTACTTTTGGTGTCAACGCAGAACCGTCGTATGTGTAAGCTGCACGTCAGACACTTGTCTTGTTTAAAAACTAAATTGTATTGATAGGAACTACACCAGTTTGTAAGTACGAAAGCAGTCGCGTAGCAACCGTGCTCAGTAACTTGGTGTCTGTTAAGGCAGGAGAGTGATGCGCAGGTGATCTGTGCGTATATCACTAGTGCCAAGACACGAGGTGGGCGAAAATATATTTTTACCCAAACAACGTGTGCCCTTTTGTGAGTTCTTTTCAGTCCGTGTTTGGTATGCGTATGTACACACGACTCGTATTGGATAAAAGAAAGAGGAATGAAAGAGTCTCGTGCTTTCCTGCCTTGTCTGCTGGGTTTCAGATGCTCCCATCCGGGCAGCAGCACCTTCTCCGAGATCGTTGCCTTGTGGCGTCCTGTCCCTCACGTGTGGTCGCTGCCTCCCGCCCTCCCCCATCCCCTTCTGTCCACACCGTCGTCCCCGGCCCCTGCCCCTGCCCGGCCCCCGGTGTCGGCGTTGCCGGGGCTGCTCACAATAGTGAGCCCTTAAGCTGACGCACCACCGTCCTTCCCAGCTGTCGTAGAGAAGCCCCCGCTCCCCTTTTTTTCAGCTTTTAAGAATCAAATTTGAATCTGAATCTTTCTCTTTTCTCTTCTGTAGCTTCTTCTTTATGTAACCATCCTGTTGACAAGCCCTCCTCTCTCCTAATGGACATAGAGCATTAGACGAGCAGGAGCTGTGTGTTCACGTGTCGGGGAAGAGTTACCTCATTTCCACCATCGCTTCCTGTTCTTTTAAAGTCCGGGTCAAACACGCGTCGCTGTTTGTTCTTGTCCATGTCTATTTACCAACCGCTGCCCGCAGTGGTTACCAGAGTGACTTGTCACTACCCCAAACGGTAATACTTAATAACACTCACAAGGAAATTGAGTGGAAAAGAGAACGTGGGCCAAGACCCAAGGTAGCCGTGTGTTGGGATCCTGTCGCGTAGCTGTCATGTTCTTGAAGCTGCCGATCTGAGAACTCACGGACTGAAGACGGCACGTACCCTACCCCGGGCTGGTCAGCACCTCCAGGGCCCACAAACTCGGTCTCATGTTAACTCCAGACCTCTCTGTCCCGTGAGCGACCTTCTGAACGGCCCCAGCGGGACCCTCAGCCATCAATCAGGCCATAAGAGCTGGGCAACATCCTCCTTCCTTTTGTTAGTTTTTATGGGTTGTTTTGGAGTTTGGGATTTTTTTTTTTTTTCAACTTTTGATATTGCATGAACAGAGATGGCTACAATTTTTTTATTTGGAGTGTTCTATTGATGCAATGTTTTTATTTTTCAGCTGACCATCTGCCTCTTGAGAGAGAGAAGTGGGCATCCTTCCTTTAAATTCAGGAACCACTGTTGTTTGATTCCACTCTTTTTCTGTGACCTGCATCCCTTATATAAGTTGTTTTCGGTTTGGGATTCTGCTTTTGAAAAAAAAATTTTCCAGTTAGCCAGTTCTGCTTTATGTATTGGTTATTCAGACTGAGCTTGGTATCAGAATTATGCCAGTTTTAAGTCCAAGGGGAAATCTAAGTGAAGTTTAAGTCACAGAATTCTGTTTAAGAATCTCCGCTGATCTCAGATACAACCACGAAAACCCCTCGGGTGTCACTGGGGTTTTGACCTACAAGTCTCAATCGTGTTTAAAATGTGTCAGTGTTAGGTCGAGGACTTTTCTGCCTCTATGGCTCAGTTTATACTTAAAGCCACGTTAAATAACTTTCTGGCCCATCCCTGCCTTTTTATTTATTGTGAAGCTGTGCTTTGCCTTGTTTCCAGACTGTTTGTATGCTGGGCCGTGGGAACAAACCCCAGGGACGTATACAGCCCCTCCCCGACTGTAGTATCGTTACGATGGTTCTGACCCCCCGTCTTCTCAGTTCCCCGGGTGGCTTTCTGTACCATGTCTGTGGGAAAAAAATAAAAATAAAAATTCACTGGGATTCACTTAAAGTACACCCAGCGTAGGCACACACACTCTGGCAGTGGAGGCTGTGATTCCTAACGCTGACGCTTTTGTGAGGGGCTGGAGATGAAGGGCCTTTGTCACTTTGTTAGCAGTCACCTCTTAGGGGCACTTTTCATCATCAAGGGACTTTCAAATTCAGCTCTATTTTAGAGCATGAACGTGCATTTTAAGTTACTTTATAATTTTATTACTCGTCGATAGTCTTCGCTTATTTCCATCGTTTTGCAGCCCCAGATTAGGAAGGTCGTGTTTGGTAGAGATCCCAGGAGTGTTCGCTCTGTTCGAGACTGGTAGCGCGGGCTTCTGTTGGCAGGTGGGACGGAGCCACAGAGCACCGGTTCCCGCCTCTTCAGTCCCTTGCTTCTTGGAGAGGTCATTTAGGGCAATTGGATGCGCATGCTGGCAAGAGGCTTTCTTAGAAAGAAACTAATTAAATGTAATAAAGTCAGGTTCATCTGAGCCATTAAATGCTCAAAATAGAAGAGTCCAGAGCCACCACCCCCCCGCCATGTTACATTATAATCCATAAAGGTAGAAATCTGCTGGTCTCGTCACCAGTGGCTTTGCGGTGGACGGGTGGTACCAACTCTTTAACTGATGCCAGAGCATGACATCTGCTTTTTAAGTCAAACACAACCTTTTGTGTGAAAACACGGTAAGCACTAAGTACAATAATTGGATTGTTAGTATTTTATTTTTTATTTTTTAAAGATTTTATTTATTTGACCAAGAGAGAGATCACAAGTAGACAGAGAGGGGTGGAAGCAGGCTCCCTGCTGAGCAGAGAGCCTGATGCGGGGCTTGATCCCAGGACCCTGAGATCACAACCTGAGCTGAAGGCAGAGGCTTAACCCAATGAGCCACCCAGACGCCCCAGATTGTTAGTATTTTAATATGAACTTAACCCCATCACTCATTTAAAAACAAATTCTGCATCAGGTTGTAAAGGCATCTTTTGAGCAGTATTTAAAAATCAAATCAGGCACTTTTTTTTAAAAGTAGAGAAATGTGTAGCCTGTTGTTGCCGTTCCCTTTTAGTCTCCCGTTTGGGACAGGTTACTGTAAGCACGGTGGCCTCTGCTCAGCTCCCTAGGGAAGGCTGACCACGGACACCACTGGTCAAGTGCACTGTCCTCCCCGTTGATTCGGCATTTTACTTTGGGGAGTTCCTTTTCTCAAGTGTTGATAAAGCTGCTAAGTTCTCCAGTTCTCGTCCCGGCTCACCAGTTAAGAGCTGTAAAGCCATCCCAGGGCTGACCATCACTACTAATGATCTGCTCATCCCAAGCTGGGTTGTAGAAAAGCAAAGCAAGAACGGAGTCATCTGGCCCGGTGTCCATGGGTAATGGGCTTTTTAGTTTGCATTCAGTCTTTTAATAGGTATTACCTGACTTTCAGATACAGACTGCCTTATCGCTTGTGACAGGTGTAGTCTACACCGCCTACCTGAGGTTGGCACAGCACGTGTATGAAGATCTTCTGAGTCAGTATTTGCTGAGCTGGTGGGCAGAAAACAATTAGGTCATCTTCCCAATTTGCTGGGCCAAACTCCCCCCACCCCCAATCAACTGTATCTAGAACATGAAACTTGCCTCTTAGTTAATGATGGTTTTTGCCAATTGGCCCAGCTTTTAAGTAAACAGTTCTGGAATCTGAAAAAGTCAGTACGTAATTCTCACTGTACGGAAGTGATGCTTCTACACAGAACCGTCCACTTTGCAGAGGCCCGTCCTCTTCCCGCTCTGGAGACTGGCAGGGATGTCAGTGTGGCTCACTTGAAGACCCTGTGCTTGAGGCTTTCGGATCAGTTTCTAGCAAGTAGCTGAAACTCCCCTGGCTGGAGAAGCGATTTAATGTGTTAATTTGAAAAGACTAACTGGGAGCCTATGTATCCATTCACCTCCCTTCCCAGCCGTCCTATGCTGGTAAGTAGCTGTACACAAAGAGATCTTTTGGGGTCAGTGGAACACTGTAAGGCACAGATCATACACGCGCGCGCGTGCACGCGCACACACACACACACAAGTGTATGGGGAAGGGAGTGCAGAGTAACATGCTAGACTTCGGCTCGACGGAGCATTCTGCGTGCAGCGTTTCCAGACTGTGAAGGTGCCATGCCAGCTCTCCTTGCCCTTTATTTCCGTCCATCCGTGCACCTTCCCCACCCCCTTCTGTTCTCCCTTTCCAAATGCTTTGTTCCCCGTGCAGTCCCAGGCCTACACTGGATGCTGGGGATGTATCCACACACCACGAATCGCACTTGTCTCTGTATTCCTCATGTACACAGCAGATTTGGGGAGCAAAAGAAAAGGTAAGCCCTTTCTATGCTAAATTGCTAAAGACAGATCGCATTCTGAAAAGCAGAAGCCCTCTCCCACCTTGCCCAAATTCCTTTTCCGTGGTTGCTTACGGTTGCCCTTCCTTCTAGAGTGTCCTCTCGCCTAACAAAAGCAGCAGTTTCAGGGAAATGAGAAACCAGTTCACTGGGCCTCTACTCTTCTACTACCCTGCTGTTGTGTAACACACATCAGTTCTACCATTTGACACGCTAGGAAGATTGTATCGTATAGTCAAGAGAAAGGGGGAGGTTTTTACCATTTTATCTTAACTCAGAAGTTCCTGGGAACTAAAAAACGAGTTGTGAGCTTTCTCCAAATTTCTCTGGTAAGACATCCTTGGTTACCTCTTATTACGCCTTTTCAATAATCCAGAGATGGCAAGAGGGAGGTCTTTGACCTACCCATAGGTCTGTGGCATACCAGTACATCATAAAAATCACTAAACCCATTATGGTGAGTGAGAGCTGCTAGTTCCTTGATAAAACCTATGCTAAGCCTGTCCTTTTATCTGTTAATGAATTTGGTCAAATCCAACTCAAACTGAAAGCAGCAAGGTTTGGGAACTTGGGGACAAAATCTTCTCAGTTGCATTTCCAGGTTATTACGCAGGGCTAGACAACTCAGAAAAATTAGTTTTGCAAAACCAGTTGTTTTTGTTCTTCGTAAGAGAACTGTCTGGACACAATATGCCCCAGACCACGGCAAGTCTTGCTCATTTTCCGAGTCCCAGATACACAGTCCCCCGTGCCTTAAATGACGTGAACTTTAACTGCAAATGATGTTAATGTTTGGCAACAAGAGACAAGTGTTCAACTGCTCGTTCTCACACAGTAAGCCTAAGGAACTCAGTTTTTCCCAGAAACTTAAAAAAGATGCTTTATTTTCCGAGAAGCACCATCTAGTGGCCAAAGCTCAAAGCAATAATACTGGGCATAGATGGGAGACCTTCTCCTCTTAACAGTTTAAAGGCGAAGTTCTAGAATTCTGCAGGCTTCACAAGTGACAATTTAGAAAACTTCATGACAGCAAATATAAAGGGTAAATTGGAGTTAGAAATGGAGCCTTGTTAACCGTTCTTGGCCGTGCGGCACTGGACCTCTAACCCTCTAACCCTCAACTTGCTAATGCAGACCCGGGACACAGTCTTTCAGGATGGTTGTGAGAACAGGGGACACAAGATCTTCCCTTTCCAGCTGAAAAATGTACAAACTACCCTACAGATGAAGATGAGCTCGTCACCATGTTCCCAAGAGTCAGCAGCTTATGCACACGCTCAAGTGAAAGGCCACTGGGCTGCCCTGGGCAGCTTTGCTCAAACATGACTGAGTCCAGAACGAGTAAATTAAGCTTGAAAATCCAGAAACGCAGAGTACGGAGGACACACACACACACACACACACACACACATTGTTTCTAACACAGGAGAGAAGAAATGCTGCCACATAGGGTGTAGACGCCAATGTCTTCATTCCCTCCACAGTGAAGGTTACTAGGCTGAGTCTCAGCCGGGCGGAGTGGAGAGCGAAGCTCTAGCTAACCTCAGGCCGAAGGCTGTGTCAGGAACATTTCCAACAAATCGTTTTTCTTTTTAATGGGATGTGGGAGCACCCTCCCTTCTCAATCCTCCCCCGACCCCTCCTACCAATAAATCATCTGTAGGAAAGATACTGCGTTCTCCACCGGTAACTTTGCACCAGTCTTGTAAACTGAATGAAGACTTACTGCTTCACTACGGTCTGACCATCGAAGAGTCAGAGGGTGCAGTTTTTCTGTTAAATGGAAGATGAGAGAATGATTTATGCCTGATCATCAAGTTCATTCCCTTGCCTTTGTGGAGGCTTCATGGAATGACGGGCCTTCGGAGCATCAGGAGCCACCGGACAATTACCCGTAGAGGTCAAGTTTCCAAATCTTGGAACAGTGTGTGAGGTGATGCCCAGACTGGCCTGCTCTCACCAACTGTTCCATCAGATGAAAACGGACTATGTGGAAGGTGAGAAAAGGACACAAAAGAAAAATTCTTAGGTCAAAACCTACATCCCCCAGTCATTAAATCCCCTTTTCATGTTTGATTTTCTGTGAACATGTACTTGGGATTTTTATCATTTCTGTAGTAGAAATAGCAGCGTCTAGCAGGAACTAGTACCACTTTGCAAGCAGAAAAAAGTGAAAGATACAGAGGTTTCAGGACAACTTTTATTGCTACCAGAGGCTTTTATCATCAGTACATGGTTCTGACTGCAATTCCTTCCTCAGCCTGCACAGGGAGCTCAGGGTCCAGAAGTCACTGAGAGAAAGACAGGTAGGGCGAAAACTCTGATCAGGAAAATATGAATAGCTTAACAGAAATCTAGGGCACTGAATTCAGTCATTATGTGTTACAGACCCCAACCCCAGAGCTGCTCCGGTATCCAGACAGTCTCTCCTACTGATTACAAATGAGTGAAAACGGATCAGTTACCAAAAACAAAAAAACTAAAACCTTCGTTGTTCCATGTTTCTTTGGTGAGCATCTGGATAATTCACTTTATCACAAATTCTTTTATACAAATGTCAAAAATGCTTTCAAAAAATCTATGAGTGTCCTAATTACATGCCACTTTTAAGCTCCAATTTGAGATGAACAAAAAATGAAAACGATAATTTTGTTCCCAAACTCGAACTGAAAGCAGACAAACACAAAATCAACATGGTAATACCAGTCCTTTTTCTTTACCACCTCTCACTCATATGGGGCAATTCTGCAGTACCCTTTCTGGATGAATCTGAATCATGGATTAAACATGGTTGTCACAATGACATAGTTTATTCACTAAATTGCTAAAAAATGATTTTGAGGGTTTCCTAATCAGTGGAAGTCAGGCTATAGATCAACATGCATAAAGTTCATTAAGTATTCAATAAAGAAGCAAGCAAAAATGAGAAAAATTAAATCAGGATGCTGGAGACAGGGTGTGCCAGCTATGAGTTTTAGAACTTTAAAGAAAACACCGAATAGCACTTTTGAGATGGGTGAATCGCCATTACTTTTAGTAGAGAAAAAGATGGAACTGACAAAACACTCCAAAATTTTTTTTTTTACTTTAAAAAAAATTTGGATCTTTTGAATTTTACACTTTTTTTTGGTCTTTAAATGCTTAAATGATGTTGATTCTAATTTGCCACACAAGTAAACGGGTTTTTTTTCTGGCTCACTTCGACTGGCCTGCTACGGTACACACCTTCATACAGCCTTTCCCGGTTTCCCACGTTCCTGTTCCCAGAGTAGTCTACCTTGTTTGCACTCGAGGTTACATGACAGAAACTGGCTGCAAAGGTGGACAAGGGGAAGCGTGTCCCTCCTGCCTCGATAAATCAGTGCCACAGACAGAACCCACGTTCTCTGGCGCACTGTCTTCATTGTAGAGCCGCTTGATGCCATCGTAGAAGTCATCCACTTCCATCTCCTCCACTTTGCGCTTGGCAGACGTCTGCCTGCACCCCCCGGCCGCTGAGAGATGATGGTAGAAGGCCGCTGCGCCTCTGACCGGCACTTCCGGTTTGCTGCTGTCCTTGGAGAAACCTAAATCTGGGCCTGGGACAGAGGAGGGCTGTAATCTGAACACTCCTTTGTCACAGGTCACCAGGGTGTGCTTGAGGGGCTGGTAGACATACACCGAATTGAGAGGCAGGGAACACTGCAGAGAGGAGAGGTGACGTGCCACGAGCTCCCGACAGTGGATCAGCTGGGAGCTATCCATCTGGGCCAGGAGGAAAAGAAACCACAAAGTCGCTCATTTACCGAATACAGACTACTCTGTCATTTCACTGGCTACTTTCCCTCCCTGGGCTCTCTGTGCTCCCCAGCTTTCTCTCCTCTCCCCACACCTCCGTGAAACTCCTCCATCCCTCCAGCCTACCCCTGATCTTAGGAAATGTGTCCCAATCTGTACTTCTACTGTCAGGCTTCAGAACTTAAATTCTGTGTTTGCAATTATATGCTGAACATCTTCATGAAAACAGAAACGGTTCTCTTTTGTTCACCGTACATACCCAACATCGACTTTTGTTCAAATTCCCTCTGTGGAGAAAACCCTCCACCTCACCCTCTGCCTCTTCTAATCTCTTCAGGAAGACAAACAGATAAACACAAAATTCATCAAGAATTTAGGGAAAAAAACCAGAGGCATGAAAAAATTTAAATAAGGGATGGGGAACATCATCTGGCTAAGAATTTAAAACAATTTAAGTGTTTTGTTTTTAAAATAGCAAATGAGAACTTTTAAGAAGTTCTTTTTAACTTTTTAAACAATTACGTTTTGTCGAAGTTAGCAGGCTTGACAACAGTAACAAGAAATGTTTTTGTTTCATTTGGAGGTTTCACTAATTCCTTCTTATCCTTCAGGATAGTTCAGGTATCCTGTCTGAAGCCATCCTTGACTCCTCCTGGCCCCCACACTCAAATTCCAGGGCCATCTGTTTCTATTTCAACCTGTCATCATATACCACATCGTATTAAAATAATCTACTTAACCATTTAGCTTTTCCTTTATAGACGATAAGCCACCAAAAGACAAGTACTGTATTGTATTCATCTTTACTTCCTAAGTTTCTTTCCTAACACAATAACTACACGTGGAAGGCTTTAAAATCTTACCTGTTCTAGAGTACAGACAGTCTCTGTTCTACTTTCCCTATAATTATAGCTCCAGTTAAAACCCTCTTCCTCTAGCAACATACATTTCTCCGCATCCAAATATTTTTGGCACCCCAAAGCCTACCAGAAATAAGCTAACCTCTTTAGCTTGGTATAAGGCTCTCCCCAGTCTGACCCCAACCTTTTTCAGCCTTATTTCCTGACATATCCCAAATTGTGCTCTTTCTGCCAAACTGGCCTGTCTATGTCTACCTGCTGAAACTGTATTACCTCTTCCCTTCCAGGTCTGGCTAAATGCCTCCATCTCCAGAAAACCTACATAGACATCACTTTCCGGTCTCGTGTATTTTATAAGTATTTTAGGACATTTCTTTACATCTTATTCATACCTATACAACCTACAGTACACAGCATTACTATTTGCAATACCACAGAGAAAATAAAGGAAAATATGCATGATTTGCAAAAACAATGAACACATTTGATCATGAGTCTATTTTTATCTCTAAAATATTCATTACTTGTTACCCAGGAAAGTATCAGTGGAAAGAAGAATGGAAGGCAGGTATTATCGTCACAGTACAAATGTTAAAATGCCTAAAATTGTCAGAAACAATATACGAAAATGACCCATTTTTAATTTCTACCATTTGGTTCACTAGTTTTTTTTCCCTTGTTTGAAAGACACTAGATTAACATCCAAAGGATAAAACACTACTAGCTGGTCTTAGAATTTCTTTTCTTCCCTTAAAAGAATTCATAATACTTAAAGATGGTCCCCAACTATTAAGCTTACGGCTGCAGGAGAGGGCTTATCGCGTCCCAGGGGTGTAGAACAAGCTGAGCCTTGCTAAAAACAGGGCAACAAAAAACACAGGAGAGAGATGGGGCTTTATTTAAAGTTCTTTAAGGAGCTAGGTACCCTTGCCAATACTTCAAGAAGCGTACAAAAGGGAGATCAGAGAAATGAAAGAAATTGGGAGTGAAGAAAAGGCTAGAGTATAACAATCACTTCTGCAAAGGACCTACTTTAACAAACTATTCCTTAGCAGATGACTAATACTAGGGGCCTAGAAAAGTGAAAGGGTCGTGATATTCCAATGCCTTGGTCCCCGGGCATACACCACAGCAGAGTCCAGCAAGAGCTCACACAGAGGGTCCTGGTTTGAAAAAGACGCGCATTTCGAGTAAAGGGAGGCGACGGTCGACGGGACTTACCCCGCGGCCCGAGCAGCACTGGGGGGGGGGGGGGCGGGGGGGGGGGGGTCGCCCTCCCACAGTCGGAAATCCGGAAATCCGAATCTCATTTTCAACTCCCCGAAACTCTGCTAAGAACCAACACCGTAACCTTTTACACGTCACGTGTACTCCGTACTGGAACCCAGGCAGGGAGAAGAAAGTATTAAGGAAACCCAAGGCAGAGAACGCGGGCTCGCAGCCGTGCAGGGCGGCGCGGCTCAAACGCGCTGCTCAGGAGTCCGCTCCGGGGAAGGCCGCAGCCAGCCAGCCAGACGCCATTCCAACCGACACCCTGTCTCTGAGCTCTACTTCCATCCCCCTACAGCCTTTGTTCAAGACAACACAGCCGAAGCCCTTCCTCCTCACCTGCCACCTGAGTTCGCTCTAAGCAAACAGGCGGAGCGCGGCCGTCAGGACCCGTCAGGACCCGCCGGAGGAAACGCCGAGGAAACGCCCCGGAACCGCCGCCGCCGCCGCCACCTCCGACCCGACACCGCCGCGCTCGGCTGAAGTTACCGAAAGATCCAGTCTCACGGCAGGATGTCCAGAGGACGGTTATTGTTATTTTTCATGACGATTTCCCCAATTTCGAGTGCCGGTGACCATTTTTAAGGAAGCCAGGCTAGAACACCCACCGCCGCGGTCATGGGGCTCAGCAGGCCGGGGGCAGACAGGCCCACCGGGGACGCACGGGACGCGGGCGCAGGAGAGGGGAACATCGGCGACAGGTGCCGGTGGCCCCAGGTGAGACAGCACGAAGCACTGAAACCACCGGAGCGGAGCAGCCGCCTGACCTTCGGCGCCCTCCAGGCCCGGGAGCCCCGGCAGGGGAGGCCTGCGGCTCCTGAGTCGGCCCTCTGGCTCCGACCCACGCCACGGCCAAGAACAGCCCCTCGGACGGCCAGCGAGAGCCCGGGGAAGCGACAGGGTCCGCGGAGGCCGGAGGTGGGCCGGTCGGTCGGGAAGAGGAGCGCGAGTACAGCGAGTGCAGCTGCAGAGGGCGGGCCAGGGAAGAAGGGACAGGGACCGGGGGCAGCATCCCAGGAGCACGAGCTGAGCGGGGCGGCCAGCCGGGAGGGAAGCTGGTCTTGCCAACCACACCGCGAGCATCCCCGAACTCGGCCCCGCAGCAGGAGACGACCGGCACGGACGCTGGGACACAGGTCCGAGGTAATTCCGGCGTCATCTCACCACAACCCTGCAAAAATTTCCTGTACTGGAACCGAGAATCCAGGGGGAATATTTGATATTGTACAGCCTCGCCACACTTCTAATGACAAAGATATTCGACCCGGTCCTCCTACCCAAATGCAGGTAAGTTAGCAAAATCAGCCCTGGGCCTTGAAGACTCACGACCCGTCAGGTCTGGGCCACACACGCTGCTATCAGCCCCAGTCTTTAAAGAACTGTTAAGACCAAGTCTCCAGGTTTGCAATCTTGTTTTTAACTATCTTCTCTATTGTAATTTGAATACCACATGGGCCAGAGATCTTTTTTCATTCTGTACAATCACAGTATCCCCAGTGCCCAGATGACAGATTTTTCACTAAGTGTTTGTGGACCGTAACTGCTCGTGCGAGAACCGCACGCTGGTTTTCACACTATGTCCAAACAGCCTGCAGAGGCAAGAGGCCATGTGGATTAAGGCGGCGCCCGACAGATCTCTGCCCCAAATACCTACCAGAAAGAATTACTTTCCGAACCATATTCTGGGATTCTATGTGTACAAGATTTTGCCAGAGTCAAGGGAAGCTTTCTAGTTCTCAAAGAAACTCTGAAAACCACCAAACTAAATCTTTAAGGTGTGTATGGGAAAGCGCTGGTTTTCTACTAAGCAGTCCTGTGTGTGTCCCTGAGAAAGCCCCAAGTTCCCTGAACTACAGGTTTAAAATAAAGAGCAGTTGAATGAATTGATTTCTAAGATTTCTTCTAAGTCTATAATACTCCCTCAATAAAAAGGGAACAAATTTCAGTGAACATCCTTACAGCACCAAAACACCAAAAGACTTATGAAAGAGAATCAGCATACTCTCCAGTATTTCTTTTTTATAGTAGAGAACAAACTCTCAAAGCTACAGAATCCAAATGCTAGTTACGACAATCTTATTATTTATGCCTCAAAGTCTGTCCTTTCTTCGTGACAGTAACACTTCATACAGCACATTTTCTCTGTACTGGCTTTGGGAACAGGCACAGAGACCAAGTCAGAACATTTAAACATGTCAATTGTTCCAATAAAAAGATGAAAAATGAAATGTAGAAGATTTCTATGAATATCCCTTCCCCCATTTCCACAGTCTAATGTAAACGATTAATATTCAGCTTCACATAACAACACTGTAGGTAGGAAAGTGAATTTCCTGTGCCACACTATTGTTGTATTTACATGGTGGTTTATGAGAATTTCTAAAAATTCTCACTAAATATATCTCCTGGATTTTATTTTCACTATAGCATTTATTTCAATGGGAATACTTCTCAATTACAACAATCTAAATATGCTATTAAAAGAAAATCTCTCTTGTATGGGAGAAACGGTCTGTCTTACCACCAACATCCTATGCCTGTCCCAAGGATGCAGAGCAAGCCGAGCCCCACTAAAAACAGTGGAACAAAGCACAGAGAAAAGGAATGGGCTTCTAGCTAATATACTGCTCTGATCTGTCAACCTTTTCATAAAAAGACCCTCAATCCTTCTCTGCTCACAGACTAGGGTCTGAAATTCTCCGAGCTGAGAGGCAGTATGAGGTACTTACATGTCTGCTAACTTTTACAGTTCATATCTATGAGATACCTTACACCAAATTCAAGTATTATTCTACTTTTCTTTTATAGTATTCTAACTTTTATAAGTTCAATAACTACAGCTCTTTGCTAAAATTAGTTTTTATGATAAAATGTAATTACTTAAGCTCAGAATTTAACGGTCTTTTCTCTAAATAAAATCTGATAAAATAAATCAGAAGAACTATCACCAAATAAGAATAAATAGGGACATATAAAGGCGAAGTGGATTCCTGTTTTATGGACTCAGGTGGCAGAACAGTATGGTCCTGCAGCAGATGTAAACTTTTAATTTTAATTTGGTGACATGAATAGAACCAATAAGCTTATCCAAAGTAGATGGTAACATATAGCACCTTTACTAACTTTCCATTTCAATGAGAAGTTTCTCCCTTAAAACTCCTACATTTTATATGCATAGCTAATAAAAAATGTAACTGGCCTATTAATGTTTTACGCCAATTTGCAGATAAAAGTGATGGAATAATCGTAGGCAATAATAGGAACTACCAGACAGAAAGTACACCTTCTACTTACCCAAGTCTAGTAAAAATACTTCACTTTCTAGCCAACAACAAATTACTTGCTTGTCTAAAAAGCAACTTCTTGCCATTTATGTTTTTTAATTTATCTTTTACAAAATAAGTGAAATATAGAAGTACTATGTTGAAATGCACAAATGGTGGTAGAAAGGTTCTTCATACAAAACTAAAGGACAATGTATTATAGAGAATCTTACTAATTTCTCAAGATTCTTACAAAAACTTTATATGTAACCTAGAAGGGTTGAAAAGAAGAAGATAGGCTCTAACCTTTATAAGAGAAAAAGGTTCACCCAGCCCATAAATTTCAAGTGTATATTACTTTATTCTTGTCTTTTCTTCAAAGAGGTCTGCCATTATGAGATTAGACATGTCTCTCAGCTTTATAACCATCTAGTAACCGTACATACCCCAGCCAAAGAGGAACACTTACTTTGACCGACACCTACCTGTGCTTTCTGAAGCAGCTCAATTGTCAGAGGAAGCCAATCAGGAATAAGTTTCTCCATTTCCAAACTAACCATGGCCAGAGCAAGCATGGATCCTTTGAACTGCAGAAGTTGGTTGCAGGCCATACAGTGAAGGAGTTGCTTGGTAAGGACGGCCAGATGTTGAGACGGGCTCAGTCTGGGCAAACTGAAAAGTAACTGAGGCCTAGTTGACACTGCAATGGCGTGAAACTGGAGGGGGAAAAAAAAAAATCACAAGAACATCATACTAGTTTTACTTAAAGTTTTAGGTAAATTATGTACAGAAATTGATGTAACCTTAGGAATGACTCAAATTTCTTAAATTTTTAATTTTAGCTTCATGAAATTTGACAGAGGATAATATCCTAATTTCTAATTTTTCTTTTTCTAAAAATCACAACAACTGAGTGGGCAATCTACTTTCCTAAGTCACTAAGACTACATATTCAAACAGGAAACTAAGAGACATTAGGTATATTTACAATGTGAAGAAAATCCAATGGTGTAGCTGTGTGAAGATCCCAGTTCAACTTATCCAGAATAATTCTCTCCATCCTCAGAATTTCAGATGAAGAACATCCACAGAAACTGTCTCTTGCCAACACCTTCAGTACTGGAATTCTCTGTCCCAAGCAAAGTGGAATGGGGCAGAGTGAAGAGGGAGGAAAAAAAATACACTAATTTTCAATTTGTGTTCTGATAAACAGAAAGCAAGTTAATAAATTGAGAGAAATTTTCAAGAAAGAGACAAAACTAAATTTTAAAGGAAAATATTTACCTCATCCTCCTCCACGGTCTTGGCAGCTAGGAAAAAACAGCTGATTGCAATACAACTCAAGTATTTTGGATGGGCCTAAAATTTCGAAGAAGGAAAAAAGCAACTTCAGTGATTTTCAAAAAGTTAGAGAGTTTATTTTTTAAAACTAGCTATGCATGTGAGACAAATATGGATAAAATTCCAAGGAATAATTAATCTGATTCCCACCTATTGCCTTCTAAGACCAGGGCTAACTTTTAACTTCACAACCCTAGCCATAATCATATTCTATGAAAATACTAAGATACTACATTGTTCAAAGTTCAACCAATGCTAGTTAGCCAAAGTTAAATTTCCATCTAGCAGAGAAGAGCTTAATTTTAGAAGACAACTTATTTAATAAATAAAATTCCAAAAATTAAAGATCTCTTTGTATATGTGTGTGTTCTGTAAGCTAGTTTTACTTGCTTTAACTGTCACACCAGTAATATTAACATACTAGATGTTAGGGGAATTAAAGAGAAAGAATATTAAAAAAAAAAAAAAGACTATAAATCTATTCCAGATGCTTTAAAAAAAACTACAGGGTGATAGCGGGGCAGTAGAAATTTTCTAATTAAGTGTCCATAAAAACAAGTACATATTCAAGTTCTATGGTGAGAACAAAAGGCTCCTATGTTCCTACAGAATCAATCAGCAGGCGGAAGTAACTTTCTCAAGAGTCTGACGTGCATAGGAGGGCTTGAATTTGCCTATTTTCCTTATCTAAGATAAGGCAGGAATACTTTCTACCTTATTGGTAGAATAAGGGTTTGCCAAACCCAGCATCAGAATCCAGTTTTAAGTAAACATATCAATTAACTCCAATTACATTGACTGATACAGAGGTAAGTTACATAACACAAAGAAAACCTGTTTCCATATTTACTTTATACTTAAATATTACATTCTTGTGAAATCAGGGAACCCTTCTGATGACCTGATGCGGCCTCGATTAATTAACTTATTTAATAAACACACCAGTAACCACTGCGCCTCAGTGTTAAGTGGCATACTGTGTAGGAACCTTCTAGTCCTCTGCCTCTATGAAAAATAAAATCTGGTTCAATACTATCAATATTTTTATAATTATTAATAGTGATCAGACATTATGGTTTAGAAAGTACTTCCAAAAATACTGTCATGTCTATTATGTCTCCGAAGTTAAGGGACACCACACGAGTGATATTTGTAGCTAACAGTTCCAGGATCCCTGATTTCCCCAAGTATACAACAGGTCAAATGCCTGAGGTCATCAGAGTTCACTACAAAGAAGAGCCCAACCATTAACAACTCACTCACGGTAGGTAATACAACTAAATCAAGGGCACTAGAGTAAAAGAATCCCAATAGCAAGTGTGATTTTTTTTTTTTTTTTAAACAAAGAGTAGTTCTAATTCCTGGATATACATCAAGTCATTTGTGCAGTTTGTTTTTGCTTCTTTAAATACAGACATTCAGATCTTACCAACTAGAGATTCAGCTTCAGTAGCTCTGTGGCCGGGCTCAGGGTGCAAAACTTTTATTAAAGAGCTACATAGCATTTCCCTCTGCATAGCTAGGACTGAGGCTCTAGACACTGCTGCAGCCTTGTATGGTCCGCTTTAAGTCCCTTTATTTAAACTATGAATACACTTTAGGTATTGTTTCAATACAGATTAACCATTTAAGTAAGAGAATCTTAGGCTAATAACATGACAGGACCCATTAAATAAGAAATACGAAAAAAATGAGATACGTGGAAATTTTCTATCTGATCCAGAAACTTCCCCAAATCTGTTTAAACTGTTTAATAAGGTAAAAATCTCTTCTATGACAGCAAATACAAGAAGGTCATTAATAATTTGTGAAGAACATAAAAACCAAGAAAGGACACTAAGCCTAAACTCATCTTTCTCTGCAAAAGGGAGGTCAGCTATAGTCAGAGGATTGGGAGAGAGGGGGACTTGATAGTGAGATAAATTCAGCCATGTCAGAGAACATAAATTTCAGGCAATTAGTATCATTATAATTAGGGTTCTTTAAGTCTCTTAAGAATACAAGTGTGAAACATAAGAGATAACTGAGTGGCCATCCAAATTCTTCCACTCCATAATTTTTTGACTTCTATTTTTCATACCTAGTAACGACTAATTGAATTCCCAGTTCTCCTAGCACACATATTCTTAGGAATACAAATGACAACAAACAAATTGCTTTTCTACTTTTTTATGCCTTGCCATTAAAAAAATGCTAATTTTCTGATTTAAATCCATTCAGAGTCTACAATGACTAATTTCACATAATACAACCAATGCTATACCAACAAAAACCATATAAAACTTACTCATATTTTTTTGTATGCTGTTATTCAACAAAAATATACCAAACTTATTTTATGCTCAGTTCATTTTATTATACTCCAAATGTATGCCCCTGGAAATTATTTATATATTTCGAAAAAACGACAGTGTAAATATTCAATAACTAAGTAGTGGCAGAAAAAAATGTGTAAAAGGCTTATTATACTTTTCTAGTCTAGTTCACAACTAACATCTAGAGTATACCACGTGTTAAAAGATGACTAAACTGATATATGGTTTGTATTAAAATTAGGAAATCAAAAACTTCACAGATTAAGTATATGTTATGAATACTGGTAGCAAAAAAAATTATAGAATACGATTCAAAACAAATTCTAAAAATGTACAGCAATAATAGAAAACATCATGCCTTCTTATAGGGGCACAGATCATGTCCAAGAAGGTTTTTCACTCCTTGTCACTTTCTAGAATGTTTACTACTTGCCCCGGGTTTAGTACATAAACCCTCAAACAAGAGGTTGTGTTTAAGTGTATCCTAAGATATTTACCTTTACAGTAGCTAAAAACCTGTCCAAAAGACTGCTAGCCAGAGCAAATGTTTCTGGGTGAAGGCTGAATTGGTACTTGAGTTTGGCGAGCCACTGAATCACTTCATCTCTCTGGGCTGGAGAAACATTCTGCAAGGGAACAATTAAAAGATAAAAATAAAAAAGAACAAGTGAAGTTCCAAGTTATCAAGAATGAATTCTCTCTTAAAAGGTTAGCAAATGCTATGGAATACGTTTATATGTTAAAAATGTTTTAAGTTTACTCAAAATCTATCAAACTTAAGATGAACGAAGATAAAACTTTATGTACTGGTCAAAGCAATTTATCAATATCCAATAACCTCTTATTGTTTATTAAATAAAATCTTCACAATGTCATCTCACCACATACCTATATTTTATTTATTTATTAAGATTTTATTTATTTATTTGACAGAAAGAAACACAGTGAGAGAAGGAACACAAGCAGGGGAAGAGGGACAGGGAGAAGCAGGCTTCCCACTGAGCAGGGAGCCTAATGTGGGCCTCGATCCCAGGACCCTGGGATCATGACCTGAGCTGAAGGCAGACGCCTAACAACTGAGCCACCCAGGCACCTTCAACCTATACCTGTATTTTAATTAAACTAAGGTGTTCAGGGAATATAACACTTTCAAGGTTAGGTAACACTATTATCAACTGATAGTAGTTTTGGAATTAAGTTTCCCAAATCTAGAAAAGAGGAAAATACAGTGAATTTCTTTCTAAGGCAGCAAATAGCCATTAAACCATCTTAGAAAATGTAAATGGAATATGGTGGTAGAACGACAGCCCATTAAAAACAAAAGTGAAGTCAACAGGAATAAATTAAAGATATCAGGGACAACAGCTGAATTATGTATTTAAAGATCATGGGAGAATACTGAAGGGGAAATTCACCTAAACTAATTTACCAATGGAGATTATTATACAAACATATAACATCATTGCTTCCTACATACTATTTTAAACTGCTGAGTACAGGCTTAATTTTGAGAAGGTACACACTTTAAAGCAATAATGACTTAGCTCTCTTTACTCTTTTTGCAGGCACCATAAAAAAACAACAAAATAAAACAAACGTAGTAATAATCTACTTACAGTAAACACACCAGAGTACAGAAATGACTCTGTGATTAGTGGAAAGAAGTATTTTCAGTAAGTGAGGGTTCTAGACAAGTAAAGGTTTAATCCAAGCACTGTATCTTTTTAATTACAACCATTTTAGATGGAAAGCCTTCCTCAGAAAGCCAAGAGGCCATGGCTTAAACCTCTTTCCTGATTACTCTGGGTCAATTTTATGAAATCAATTCTGTATCACAGAGAGATACATTAGGAGCTATAAAAGCAGGGTGGCCTGCATATCTTAATAAATCTCCCCAAACAGATATTACAGTTGGAATTTCTTCTCTCCTTCCTCTTGGCTTTCTTTAGTGTTTTGAGAACTACAAGACTTAGTGCTCATTATAATCTCTGCCATTGCACTGGCAAGCTAATTTCTCATTTTTCCCCCTTCCTCTGTCACTTTTCACTTTGGCACAACACAGTAAAGTGTTTCTTAATGTTGGCCAAACCAACTAATCACACATATCATTTTTACGTGTAGCTCTAAACTCAGTTATAACTGGTATTTTAGAAGCTTAACTGCCACATATCCACGTTCTAGTCAATTCCTTTTGTCAAATAAAGACGGACCCTAGACTACTGCACAAGAAATACTGACAAGAAATTGAGATAAAAAATGGTTTACAACCTCTCACTATCTCACCACCAAGCTGGTGTTAAAACTATGAACAATAATCTGAAAACATCTGACAGTCAAAACACTTAATTCAGTCCGTATTACTATTCAGCGCCCATCGCGCGACAGGTGCTGGCAACACAATGATGAATAAAGAAACTCCGTGTCAGCTTCTAAACTTAAAGCCTCACGGTGAGGCAAACAATCAGAAAATGTCAATCATCCATGTTTAGTGTAAAAGAAAGGTACGCACGGGTGCGAAGGGAACACCCTGGAAGGGCACTCAGTCCCGTGTGGAAGGAGAATGAAAGCTTCTCACAGGAGGTAGCGATGAACTTGTATCTTAAAAGTTAAAGTGAGGAGAGGATGTGATCATTTTAAAGACATGGAAAAGATCTATTTTTTTTTAAGCCTGTGAAAAACTTTAAAAAACAGGAATCATGTCAATCTGGAGGAAATAACTTATTGTCAAGCTCTTCTGACTCTCAAGTAAAATCAAGCTGGGTGAGAAAGACGCCAGAAACGGATACTCGGAGAATCAGTGTAGAATCCCACTGATCGAGACGAAGAGAGAGGCAGTTCCCTAAACTGAAGCTGTGGCTTGACAGGTCCTGGATGCGGACAGCAGCAAGGGAATTTATGTCCTGCACAGACCACTGCCAACATGACAGAGGAAACCGGAGTTGGGCTATGAGAGCCAGGGGCTAAATTCTCTCTCTCAAAAAGGTGGCAAAACATTATAGCCTGAAGCTGTGGCTTCTTGAGAAAGGTGGGAGGAAGCAGACACAGACTGACAACTAGGTCCGACGTCAAAGAGCTGTTACTGGTCCTTGGTTCTGTAATATATCATTTTCCACAGAGCCCTGAGTTGCTGCCCCCAGATCCAGCTCTGAACTAGGGGCTCCGAAAGCTCCCTGGGAATGACGTGAAGGCAGTCACAGGACTTCCAGATCAGCTCAGCATTCAAGAGCAATTAAATTCCTGCCTAGAAGAGCTTTTATCTAAAATGCCAAAACAAACAGAAAAGTAATGTTAAGCAAGACACTGAAACAAATCAGTGTTAAGGAAATACATTTGCACAGGAAGCAACAGAAAGTCACAGAGTCCGATAAACCTGGGGAGGGAGGTGAAAGAACAATGGGCCAGAGCAGCCGTGAGGAACAAAAGAACAAAAACGTCTTCAATCGCCCCTTCAGCTCAGAGATGCATACAATGGGGACAGAGGAGAAAAAGATCCCTGAATGACAAATTATATATAATGTGCCTATTTGGTGTCTGACATTAAACAAATAATAAACATATAATCGTAAGAAGTGCCGCAGAAGATGGACGCAATGTGCTTGCTCTAAGTACGGAACACATGGAACACAGCTGTACAGAGATTTCCATATCATGGTTATAACTAAATGATCCAACTTACAGAAAGCACATGGAATGCAAAAGGCACTCAAATACTAGTTTTGTTCTTTCCTACTTCTAAAAATACCTGATGCTCTAATGATGCCAGAAAAAAACAAATTTACAAATACTACATACAAATAATTATTTTAAACCAATTATAATACAACTAGTTATGAAAGAGATCATGACAAATCTTTGGATTTTATACCTTATACTGAAATATGGGAATAGGGCCAAGAAAGCATTCCTGCATGACTAGAATAATCATCACTAAAAACTAGTAAGAACAACAAAAACCCACAAAAGGTGAACAGTTTAAGAGTCACTCTCAGGGAGATCATACTAAGATCACTTTTTCAAATCAACTCAAACATGCACTGAACAGTAATACCGTCAGGGGAGCTTCGCGGAAATGAAGTTCTGTGTCTAAGTGATGCAACTTCAGAGGCAGGCCGGGGGAAAGAAAGGAAAGCAGAACTGCCTGCCGCCCTAGACAGTACGTCCTGGACAAGGGATCTGTTTCCTTTTACATGGATTCCTCAAATAGGGTTAAGCCAGTTCAGAAGCTGAACAACAACTAATCCTCAAGAGAGTTTGGAATGGATTGACTCAAGCTGGTAAAACACTGGGTTTTGTATTTCACAAGCTACTATTATGGTCATTTAAAAGACAAATACTCTCCAGCTCTAAACTCTTCAAGGCTCACCATAACCTAGAACAAGTACAAGCCCCCAGGTGTGGCGTACAAATCCCTAGGACCTACTTCTCCAGCCTCACTCACCTTCCATCACTTTCTACCTTAAAATTCATACTGTGAGAGTAGCACTTGCATTTATGGTCCTTCCTTGCTCCTCCTGTGCTATTTTATTACATCACTTCCTTTCTATTTGTACTGTTCCCTCTGGTTGGTAGACACCCCCCTCTCTTTTTACCTACCTTATTATTTATCCTTCAAGAGCTATTTCAATGGTCACTCCTCACCACACTTTTCCTAATAACTCTAGTTGGGCTAAGTACCTTCCTGTGCTCCCACAGCCTCTCGTCACACCTGTAAAGTTCAACATTTAGAAAAAAAATTACATTTCTGCTTTTGGCTGTGATAGAGTAGGTAGTAACCTACACACCAGCTGAGAACTAGAAAAACTACTGACCACCACCACCACCACCACCACCACTTGTTTTGAAGTCATCAAAACTGCTAGGACAACCAGGCTTTGCAGAACCAAGATTCTGGAAAAGAGGTACAACTATCCCCCGATTTCAAAAGTTCATGTTGCGTCACTTAGCTTTAACTAAAAACCTACCTCAGTACCTGAAAAATTCCAAAGATTTTCACTTATACGAAAAAAGGCAAAAAGTAAAAATAGCATTCGGCATTCATTTTGCAGCAGGCTGTTACAGAGACAGTGGCACACCCAGAGCAGCAAAATGGTACTGCCCATCTCCTTCCCCCAAACACACTCAGCACCTCAGCCACCAAACTTTGAACTGTGTCTGTGAGCACCAGGGCTTTATCTTGATTTATTTTGCCCATCTGTTTAGCAAGATGTGTCCTAAGATATCAGAAAAGCCAAACAGAGGGGTCTGGGAACACTCAAAAAATTTCCCTTATAAATTAATGGTAACTGCTTCTTTGCGTTACAGCATCTCAGCTCAGAAGTTTCCACAGGAATGCTCTACTTTCAAACACTGGGGGAAACCTGGAACTGGAGTGGTCAACTAGAGGAAATAGCAGCTTTTCCTTCAGGGCATTTACCTATCCTCTTGAGTACGGCAAGAGGCTCAAGAGGCTGAGAGGAAGGAAACCTACAAAGCTTCTGAGACTTCTACGGGTGTAGAGACAAAATTTGGAGCCTTAGGAGCCAAATGGGGAGAGGAAGGGTCAGAAAACTGAATGTGACACTCAGCAGATTTTCCCCTTAATTCTGGAATAAAATTTTCTGAATGAAATTCTGAAGCTGGGAAGGAC